AATGATTGGATTTCTATTAGATAATTATTGTTTAAAATCTGTGATATCCTTCTTCCCTCTTCCTCATTCCTTTTTCCTTCTTCCTTCTTCCCCCTTCGCTTCCGATTCCGCTTCCTCCTCCGCTTTCGTTAACTTAGGCCTGATATTTCCACCTCTCGATAACTTTACTTTCTGCATAACTTCCATGGATACCATTGTCGGTACAATAGCTGCTCATTTGATAGATATTTTTTTCTCTTTTTAATAATATAACATATTAGTACCCTTTCTCAAGAAAATTTTTCCAAAAAATTTATTATAATTAGATCAATAACATTAATCCAGATATCCTACATCAAAATAAAACCAATGAGCGTGTAGGTTTCTTATTAAACCTATAAAACGAATTTAGCAGTAAAATGGTTTTCATCGCAATGAATGTTCAAAATGTTCACCATATACTGCAAGGCAGTGGCATAACCTATCATAACAAGTTAAAAAGTAATCGTAAACGATTTACATAAAGTGCATTTCCACTTGCATTCATTTCCCATTTATAAGATGCAACTTCTGTTAAAATCGTAAAAATCCGGCCACAAATATGAAAGATAGCGTTGCACATGGGGAATCCATTTTTGACGTGTTACTTCAATTTCAGTTTATGAGAAGAATTTCATTTCAATGCTTTTCTAAATAAGAAAGTTGGAACTGCGCATGCGCAAACCTACATTTTAAAACTAATGTTAGATTTTCCCTTGTTCCAAGCGCCTAAGTATCAAATTTCACTTAAATGGTGCCATAGATAAACAAGTTGGCACTGCGCATGCGCAAAAGAAAATTTTGAGACTGGCGCTCGATGATCCTTTATTCCAAGTGCCTATGTATCACATTTCATTTAAATTCTTCCATAGATAAAAAAGTTGGCACTGCGCATGCGCAAAGCCAAATTTTGAAACTGGCGTTTGATTTTCCTTTATCCCAAGTGCCTATGTATCAAATTTCGCTTAAATTCTTCCATAAATAAAAAAGTTGGCACTGCGCATGCGCAAAACTAAATTTTGAAATTGGCGTTTGATTTTCCTTTAGCCCAAGTGCCTATGTATCAAATTTCGTTTAAATTCCTCCATAAATAAAAAAGTTGGCACTGCGCATGCGCAAAACCAAATTTTGAAATTGGCGTTTGATTTTCCTTTATTCCAAATGCCTATGTATCAAATTTCGTTTAAATTCTTCCATAAATAAAAAAGTTGGCACTGCGCATGCGCAAAACCAAATTTTGAAATTGGCGTTTGATTTTCCTGTATCCCAAGTGCCTATGTATCAAATTTCGTTTAAATTCTTCCATAAATAAAAAAGTTGGCACTGCGCATGCGCAAAACCAAATTTTGAAACTGGCGTTTGATTTTCTTTTATCCCAAGTGCCTATGTATCAAATTTCGTTTAAATTCTTCCATAAATAAAAAAGTTGGCACTGCGCATGCGCAAAACCAAATTTTTAAATTGGCGTTTGATTTTCCTTTATCCCAAGTGCCTATGTATCAAATTTCGTTTAAATTCTTCCATAAATAAAAAAGTTGGCACTGCGCATGCGCAAACCAAATTTTGAAATTGGCGTTTGATTTTCCTTTATTACAAGTGCCTATGTATCAAATTTCATTCAAATACTTTTATAATTAAAAAAGTTTGCAATTCGGTTTACAAATGGTCGAGATGCGAAAAGGGCACTGTGAATTTTAAATATATTCGACTCAAATTTTGGCATGCGTATTATATGGCTAAAGCTATGCCCATATTGAATTTCATGCAATTCAGTTCATAACTAACGGAGATGTAAAAGCGATCGAACATTTCTAAACAAAGTTATCGTTCCCACGGACAGATAGATGCACAGACAGACAAAGGAACAGACGGACAGACGAGCATGCAGACGACAGATAGCAATGCAAAATTATAAACGATCTCTAGGATAAACGGCAAAAGTGTAAAATTATAGAACATGTAAAAAAACGGTTTTTTGTTTTTTTTTACAATAACTTTTTTTGTAAGCGGTACAGAAAAAATTCCTTCCTTGGTACAAGACTCGGCACCATAACGAACCAAATAGCGAAAAAAGTAGAACAATAGCTCTTAAGATAAAGAACTAGTAGCGTCGCAAAACGAGCGGACGGACGGACGGACGAACGGACAGCCGGACGGACGGACGGACGGACAAAGTGGCCACAATAGCGCATTTTTTTTTTGTGGAAATGCGCTAAAAAGCTTAATTTCTTTTACACGGGTGCTAATGTGTTACGTCATTGAAAACAGAAAAAAAATCTCTATCAAATGAACTTAATGAAAGTGTGCATTGCTATTTAAAAAAATTCAATTGTTTTTCGTTATTCATTTGTTTTCTGAAATACAAAAAATGGAATTCTGCCTTATTATAGAAAATAAAATGTTAAACAACTTTCATACAGAAAATTTTTCTATACAGTCGATACATTTACCGAGATATATACTATATTCCATACATAATGGGCACCCTGTATTTATCAGCGATATATTTGCAAATTATTTTTGTTGTCTCTTGAAAAGATAATACTCCTGAGGGCTCAGTTTCTTGGTAAAATACAATGATAAACAGAGAACTAATGGATTAGGAACATACCTACAGTCATTGAATATTAATTTTTTATTCAATGCTACAATACAATCAACCTTATTGCAGTATAGACAGCTAAGTATACACGAATGTTGAAAATTATTTACTACGCAGTAGTGTACAAAATGAAATCGACAAAGGCATCATAGTCTTTGATCATACATTCGGAAGGGTAGATAATCATTTAATCTCAGCTCGCTTATCGTAATATTAACAAGTCACGCCCATCTGGGCGAGACATATCAATTGGTGAAGTCGAAGCGAATATCTTAAAATCGAAGTGTCGGAAGAGAGTGCTCATAGGGAGCCGGGCGAGAAGGGTGGAAAGATCGTTTAGACGCTTACCTGCACACATCATACAATTTATGGAGACAATTTACATAGTGTAACCAGCAGAAAATAAAAAGAGAACATAGATAATGTGTTCAACACAAAAATAATGAAAATAAGTTTCTTCAACATTTAACTTTTCCGCGCGTTAGCATCTGTCGCGACCTGGCGCATTACTTTAATTGTATTGGGCTGTTACTGAGCGAAGTATCTAATCGATGTAGCAATTTTTGGCATGGATGTGTACTACGTCAACTTAACCATACTTTCATTTAAACTCGCGCGTTCTTTCGTAAAACGTGATCCTACGAATCACGATCTTGAAACCATGATCTCGAAGTAGCCGAAAGAAAGCGTCTAGGCAGGGGCTGGTATTTCTAGTAGATAAATCAGTAAGTACTTATTGATGATAACGTCACAACGGGTGTATGTGGGTCATATAATATAAGAATATATGATGTGGGTATGGAGACACATTAGTATAAGCAATTATAGTGTTGTGAAAACTTCCTAAGACTGAAACTACCCACACAACTTACCCTTGTTAGCTCAATCTCACAAAAACTCTTTAAAACATAAATCTCAGGGCCCGTAAAATGAGTCCGACTACCCCTTTTTTTCGTCCGGACAAGGGGTAGCAACCTCTCCAGGTCGGTGGCTAATACCTCCCTTAAATTCCAAATAAAATAATCCCTTGTTAACTGACTTCTGGAATGAAATTTAAGTCCCACCGATGATCCAAACCTTTTTTTACGTTACCAAACTCGTTACACACTCGGGATAAAAAAGAAAACTTAAAATTTGAGAAACTCGAATCCTTGAACTTTACTTTGACACACAAATAATAAATGACAACAACAAAAATTTTACAAAGCTAAATTTAACAAAATCTGAAAAAAATAATTTACACAAATTGAAACACAAAACCGTCTCAGACGGCGATTCTAACAATTAAATTAAAACAAAAATGACAGTACTCACGGTGCTAATCCTTTTTACAAATGCACAAACTACCGATGCAAAAAAAAACACAAGCCCCAGGTATGTGCTGACACAGCTACTCCAACAGCTCCTCGGCGATGCTGGCGTTAAACAAACGTTCCGCCTTGTCCAGATAATGTAAAATACCACGCAAACGAAAATGTTGCTGCTAAAATGGCGTTATTGTACCGCTCGTTTCCCTTCAACAAACTCCTTCCCAAAGACCTTGTTAAAACTCCTCGATGCCGGCGTACTTCAAACGTTCCCGGACTTTCAAATAACCATAGACGATGAATAAACTGGCGTAACTTCAGCACACGCCGCTACAATAAACTTTTCAAAAATCTTCACATAAGACAAACGTAGGCTTCGCGAAACGGTACAATAAGCGTCTTCTCTTCGCTGTTCAAAACCATTTATACCCCAGTATCGTCAAATCTCGGTGCGACGCTTTTCCATGAAAAATTCGAATTTCGGGGCCGATAAAACTTAACGGTCGACTCCGCGGACCAATACCATAATTGCATAAATAAAACTATTAACGATCGTAAATCAACTTAGACTGGCACTTTTACGAGTTTTAACACGCCAAAATTCTTATGAAATTCGCTCTTAAACAACTAAAAGTTTCCTTATCTAAAGTAACACTTGTGCAAAGCGCGTGCACTCTGCTAACTTCCACGAATTTAACAATAACAAGACAAAATTTATTACATTTAAACACACTAATTACGGATTCGATTTTCCCAGACTTAAGTTTCTTAATTAACTCCGGCCGAGCATTAATTGAACTAAAACAGCGATCCTCTGCATAAAAATGGGAAATAAACTTCTTTCCAGAGTAAATAAATGCCGTCCAACTGCGGCCTAATAAAAAAACACAACAATAGATAGTTATAAATTCAATGGTATAAGCATTGTATAATAAGGAAAGATTCGTACCAATAGCCGGTTAATTTGCGCACATCTTGTATATAAAAAGATAGGTACCAATCGTCCGCCAAGTCTTAATAAAAGTTACTACGATTTAGCAACAGGGATTTTAAATAACTGTATTTGGTTGTCAGCTTACAAAATAGGTTAGTTTTTATGTAGGCCCAAGAGAAATTTCTAAAAGAATTTAAATTTTTAAACACATTTACTAATAAAATTATGAATTTTAAGTATTGCCCTTTAAAAGCAATTAGAAAAAATTGTATTTGATATAAAGTGCTGTCAATACAACAAAGATTTCAAATGAAGAATTATACTAAAATAGTTTCAAAGAAATGATCAAATAACATTATTTATGAAGATGGAAGTGAAAAGTACAGACACCAAGCTATCATGGTCTGACTTAAAAAGTGTTGTAAATGATTTACGGAGGCAGTTGTCCAGTTTATCTACAATGGTCCCCACTTCGATTTCATTTCGCACGTTACAAGACGGTCGGACTAGAATTTATTTTTTAAGTACACCCCAGAATGGTTGGGAAATGACGTTATTGTATACAGATGTACCTAATAGTAGTGAAGGGACTAGCTTAAGATTGCAGTCAAATTGTGTAATAGAAGCTAATTTTCCAAGTTTATCGTCTTCTAATAAACATTCTAGAGAAGAACAATTATTATGGGAAAGGAAGAGGTTAACTACGTGGGGTATAACGTCGTACGAAATTCATAGTGATTCTGGAAAGATAGTGTTCCCAGCAGCAAGTAGTTTATTTCAGTGTCTAGATAATGGATATTCGGTAATAAATCTTCAAATCGTTGTTGTAGCAGACATCTTTTAAAGAGTAATTAAGGGTTACTTTTTTAAGGCTGCTCCGTTATTTCCAACTAAATTAAGGATGACTTCGTCCGAAGCCAAATTAAATCCACAAATTTGCCAGTCGAATCCAGATCTTGTTGCTTACATTTGTAATCACGACATATGGGTCGCACATACAATTTCAGGTTGCAATGTGCGACTAACTTATGCTCATAAAGGGGATAGGAGTCTTGCGGATGACCCATTATGTGCAGGTGTACCGTCATATGTAATGCAAGAGGAGTTTAATAGGTATCAGGGATATTGGTGGCAACCCTTATGTAAAGGTATGTGTTTATAAGATGTATACGCTTACCTACTAATGTGTTTATTTATTGTTGTCATTTAGATGGAATATATAGAATACTTTATGAAGAAGTCGATGATGGTGATGTCAAAATTTTCTGTTTTCCCTCTTCACAGTCTGACACTGGGGAAGTGGAAGAATTTCGATTTCCTAGAGCGGGCTGTGCAAATTCGAAGTCGTATCTCAAGATGATAGAATTTAAAGTTAACGAAAATAGACAAATTGTAGATATTTGTATGTTAGAACTTCAGTTTTCTCTTTCAATATTATTTCCTTGGATGGAATACGTAGTCAGAGTAGGATGGACCCCTGATGCAGAGTAGTAAGTAATTCTTAATTACAAAGTTAGTACATGTAAGTAGGTACATACATTAAAAATAAGTGAACTAAACTATTTTGGCATGCGCAAACCTAATTTACAAATGCAGTGGAAAACCTAGCTTTTTTAATGATTTTCAAATTTAGTTTTATCAGTATCAGCTGCTAACAGTTTATATAAATACCTGTCTTAAGAATAGTCCTTGTGCTGACATGAAGGCTTTTTAAAAATCTTTCTGCTTGTCCGTTTCAGACGGACAGACCGAATTCACACAGACATTAGCTGTACAATTATGCAAAAAATTCCTCTTCTACGGAGTGATACTCGTGTTAATAGTTATGAAAAAGGTGACAATGGTAATACACCCAGTCACCCTCAAAAGTCATAAAATTTGCGTTACTTCAACTTATTTTGTCAACCTAGAAGGATACTATTAAGAGATTTCCTAATGGGACTATTTAGTAAAAAAATGTTATTATATTTTGTTGAAGCTTGTTTAAATTTAAACCCATCATAAAACTAGAATTTTCTGCTTTAAACAAATTACGGACGTCCACACAGCACATTATAAATGCTTATTATTCTCAAACGGTTCAAGGTAAAAATATGCATCTTGCGATCTTCGTGTGAAATTAAATTGTTTTCATTTTATCCCAATATCATCGCTGGGAGTGATTTCTTACGTCATAACGCTCACTCATATGAGATGGCGCCAGTGGACATTTACCCTGCTTTATCTACAAACACCTAAAAACTGAACATGTCAAATAATGAGAATACGTATGTTTATTTATTACTTGTATAAACCTCAAGTGTAAGCAACACAGTGTTATAGTTTTTCTCTTTCTGCTATATCGTTCCATTCAATATATGTCGATTCGGTTACATACATTACAAATGTTCACTATTCTGATTTGATTTACTTACTGTTGCTTGCAAAGATGTTACTGTAATTATTGCGAGCATTTAAAATTACAATTACATGACTTTGAAATTTTACATATTATTGTAAATTTTCGTGCTGATATTTTTTGTTTTTTGTTATCAATATTATTATGCACTGTGTCCAAGATAGGGATATCGAGAAGCATATCTACCATTGGGGTCTCGGAAACTATAGGTATAGAAGATACGACGATCGTCAAATTAGGGAAAAATTGCGCAATTAAGGAGTTATTATGCTGTAAAGAAAACCAGAGAATTGCGATTACTTTCGAAGATATTCCAGAAAAACCTAAATTTTCCAAAACTTTTGCACCAAGTACACTGAATGGCTAAACATCAACATTGGAACATTTAGATGAAACCTTGCACAACTAATAAGTTGCTGGTCTCAAAAGGATCAATTAACTGAGCTCTTGAAGCGTTCGAAAACATTACACCTGATATTGTTCTTATGTACTCCGGCTAGCTGTCAGTCTGTACTTAATCTTCTTCTGGCTTGTTAAGTAAAAGAGTAAAGGCATTAATAATAAGTCAATACTTAATCTTTAAAATACGAAACGGTTTTTATTTTCTTTGGGGTAATCTTGGCTGTAATAGAATACATATTAGTATGTAAATGTAAATGGAATTTGAGGAGCACAGATTTCGTCATAATCATTTCCTTTTCTCTGACCAGTCATGCTTTAAAACGAACAATCTCTCCTTTCTTATTAGTTTTACTTTTAAATACCCACTTACAGGGTAATGCTCTTTTACCCGTCCTTGTGTCCGATTTTGGTTGAGATTGCAATGATTCTCAGCTGTTTTTAAAGATAGAGACTTGCGGTTTTCGCGACCCGTTGCCACTTTTTGTGAAACTTTTAATACCACAAAAATAGTAGGCCATGGTTTTATGGATGTTTTGTTTTGTTTATTGTATCCATGGCAGCTGGTACAAATCAATGAAAATGGTTGATGGTAGAAACATGCCATTTCAAAATTTTGAAAATGTAGGTAAGTATATAAAAAAAAATGTAGGTTGTGTTACAACCGAGGATACAACAATATAATCATGAAATCGAATGCAAAAAATTGACGTTAAGATATATAGGGTGTTGCATTTCAAAATTGATATTCTTCAGCTTGTGAGCGGTCGCCATAATTTTATTCACATAGTTATCCATGTTCCGAGAATTGGCCAATGTTGTTGTGATGAGGTCTCTCAACAACGCTAGTTTTCTATATATCCCGCTGCCATCCAAAGCCTATTGTAAACTCGCCCAGACTTTTACACGTAGTCGCGCTCTGTACATGTACATAGTTGATCGGGTCTAGCAGAAGAATAGCTTAGACTTAGCTGTTGTTTCCTTCTTCTCGTCCTGATTAGTTCCTTCAATACACGCCCATAAATCTTCCAGCTTAAAATAACCAACTTGCATAGTTGAGTTGGTCAATATGAACCGGATTGTGGCCACTGGATATTTTCGTGGAAATTAGCGACTTTTAACAGAATAAATTTGCTGTCCGGTTTTTCAAACGTTCTTACTGCTTACATTTTTACTTCTTATACGATTTTTAGCAACCCCGTTAACCACGCTCGTTATGCTAATATTTGTAATAGGTTGATTGCATTAGACAACTTTTACCGAAAATGACAAACGTATTTATATTTTACTGCAACCGATAGTTCGTACAACAAAACTATATAACAAACACGGTGCATACGTTACATAACTAAATGCGTTCTTAATTACTAACAGTACGCTCTTCTGACACATCGTTTTGGCGATATTCACATCACCACCGGTTATATTTCTTCCAAACGTCCCAATCGGCCTTTATGAGTACCGCCCTTCGACACTGCTCTTGAGATATGAAGAGTGTAACCGACCATGATAAGGGCAGGAGAACTATGGTTGGTGGAAATGAATTCCTTTCATCGAGGCCTTTCATTAGAGTACCATGAAGAATGAAAACAGGCTTCCCCCACCCTTCCATTTTGATTAGGGGAAGGGGAGAAGTGCGGGAGGTGGTACAAAATAGTTTCTTTTGTTGATACTTTTAATTAAAATAACATGAAAGATGTGTATGAAAAATCTGAGACAAATTGCTCGTCGCATGCAAAACCTATGCACATTTTACTTTCAAAAACAGCATCTTGGGTGTGAACTTATAAATTAAGATGGACTGCTGATCAAAAAGTTGCATACATGTTATTACATGTAGAAATGGCCCTAGCATGGGCGCCATGATGTGTACATTTTAGTTATTTTCTAGGGGAATTTTCCTAGTGCTCAAGTTTTGAGACTATTGCAGCCTTGGAAAATGACGTGTGTCACAGTAATTTATTTAGAAAACGTGAGGTTAAAGAGTCTTCTTTACCTAAGCGCAACTTTTTTATATTATAGTGTATAGATGATTATAGCTGCAAGAGATAAGATGATATTCTTGCTTTGTCAACTCCTGTCTTGGTCCTTAGTTAGTTCCCACCGACACTGTGCAGCGGCGCCACTTGTTACACTCAAATTCTTGATTTATCGCCCGCCAAGATACAGACTTTATTTACAAAAATTATGATTTCATTTTTTGAGGTCATGTTTACAAGTAACTTGTCTAAAAAACTGTCGGTTTACTTTTTCCATTAATCATCTTGATCGAGAGTAAAAAAATAAAACAGATTAGCGCAATAATCGGTGCGAAACATCTAATCTTTAAACAATCGGTATTCTGTTGCTATAAACTTAAAAAAAATAGTCCGAACATTTTGTAGATAAAGGTCTAAATTTATAAAATAGTTTATATATAATTTATAAAATTGTTTTTTGAAAAACAACTAGAGTTATTATGGCGGGCGCTCTTATGGAAATTTACATTGGGTGCAGTGAGTACAGAAGACTCTTAATGCTTGATTATTAGTTGATTTGAATTTCGCGCCATGTGAGTGCACATCATGGCGGCCCACATGTAGGTGTCATTTGTTAATTCGGCATTAGCAGTCCATCTTAATTTATACGTTCGTGATCTCGGGAATAATTCATGGGGGTTGCTTAAGTCAACAAAATTTAAAGTATGGTATGTTTGTTTTCTTTAATAGGTCATTAAAATATAGAATCAATAGGACTGGACCAAAGGTAGATCCTTGCGGTACGCCACAAGCAATCTCTTTCATGGTGGAGTTCCCGTGGTTCCCCTTAACGATTCGTTGCCTCTTTTGTAAATTTGATTTGGGGTGCACTATTTGGCAGGTGCAAATTTATTCATTTGGTGGTTCACTGCACCAGTTATTTTTGCCGATTTTACGATAGATTTATTATGGGGTTATTATTATTATTAATTTAAATGGGTTGTGGTACTGCAGACCACTAGGACTAAATTAAGAGCGACAAACAAACGGGGTCCAGTTACACGATCACATCCTCTTCACCACCAAAAATTTAGTAACGATTTAAGTAAAGCTATCAAAAACAGATATCCATCATTTACCAGCCAGTGGATCTGCGTGTCGACGGGAATTGCATAATCCCTTTGGCGTCAAATAAGACAATAAATAAGACCCTAAATTTGCTCATTGATTATAAGGATATTCATGAGCGCTCATAACACGAAGCTTAGTAATAATTAAAAATGTCCACAATTTTCATTGCCGATGAGCAGTTATCTATGTTTGTATTTATGATTATGAAGTTACGTAATCGGGTCAATTCCCCTTATATCTATTGTTATTATTTTACATTTTATTTCTGAACGTGTTTTTTTTTTATTTGCAGTATTTGGGTTCAGCTCTTGGATAGGAGACAACAAAGACTGGATATTATATTGTTATCACTCAATAATTTCTCAGAAGTGCTTCCTATGTATGATAATGATACTAATAGCATACACCTTGGTAGTCCGATTGTGCAAGTAATACTTACACAAGAATCATGCATATGGGTAAATGTTCATGACTTACTATACTTTCTTCCGTCCACAGAACATAACGAAGTGCAATTTGTTTGGGCATCCGAAGATACGGGCTATCGACACTTATATCTTATCACATCACAAATTATGCCATACACTAATGGCGTAATGGAGACGACAGAGCCTATGGATTACGTTTTTCTTCAACCAAAAATAATTAAAAAGGTTGCACTTACCTCCGGAGAGTGGGAAGTGTTAGGGCAAAATATCTGGGTCGATGGTGATCGGGAATTAGTTTATTTCATGGGACTTAAAGAAACGCCAATAGAGAAACATTTGTATGTAGTTTCTTTACAGCGACCTGGAGAAGTTAGGCTCTTAACTCGACCTGGTTATTCATATAACATATACTTTAACAAGGTGAGATTTTCTTCTACTCATTTTTTGCAACCGCAACAACAATTTTCTTAGACAAATGCTCCCTCCTTTTTTTTAGGAATGCACAATGATCGTAGCTGTGTATAGTAACATTCAGAAACTGCCCGCTTGCCAAGTCTTTAGGTTAACTCATACAGATTGGACAGTGGATGGTGTTATATTAACTCCAATCGGTTATCTCCTTGACTCAATTCCCCTTGTAAATGATTCCTACTGTCCCGAATTATATACTCACGAAATCAATTCTGGCCATGTACTGTACGCGATGGTGTTTAAGCCTCATAACTTTGAAATAGGGAAAAAATATCCGACTGTTCTTAATGTATACGGAGGGCCCGAAGTTCAACTTGTGTCAAATACGTTTAAGGTAAACCGTCGATCTTAAGAGAGGCGCAATTTCATAATTATTATAGGGAATGAGGCAGCTCAGAATGCATATGTTGGCCGCAAGGGGATATTGTGTCATAGCAATTGATTCTCGAGGTTCTCAGCACCGGGGCCTACTTTTTGAAAGTCACTTGCGAGGTCGAATGGGAACTGTGGAGTTGAGTGATCAAGTTGAGGTTTTAAAATGGCTAGCGGAGACTTTGGGTTACATTGACTTAAGTAGGGTTGCGATTCATGGTTGGTCGTATGGTATAGGAACAACAGTGTTTTAGTAGTTTTCTGCAATTTATTTTCAGGGGGATATTTAAGTTTGATGGGCCTGATTCATCATCCAGACATCTTTAAAATAGCAATAGCAGGTGCGCCGGTTACAAATTGGAGTTTATATGATACTGGGTATACGGAGCGTTATATGGATTTGCCAGAACACAATCAGCAAGGTTACGTTGAGGGATCTGTTCTGAACTATATCAATAAATTTCCAGAGGAGTAAGAAGTATAACACTATGCTATGTAGTCATTTGTGCTTATATTTTAGGGAGAATCGTTTACTGATAATTCATGGTCTCATTGATGAAAACGTTCACTTTTATCACACAAGCCAATTAGTAAATAGCATGATTAAAGCAGGAAAACCTTACCAATTGCAGATTTATCCGAATGAGCGGCATTCTTTAAGGCATTTGGATGCAAGTAAACATTACGAAACAACTCTACTTTCTTTTCTACAAAATAATTTATAAACTATACTTTTTGCAATATTTATTTCAAATATAGTCAGATATCCACTCAACCAGTATTAATTCAAAATTGTTTCACCGTCATTGAATGTATATACTATTTTATGGCGAAATTATTTGACTTCCAAAATCATACGTAATGCAAAAATAGCTCAAACAAAATGTCTTTTATAGCCTCGTAAAATGCCTCTGTACATTTTCTAATGCTTTATCCGAGGAATGTTTTAGGTGATTAACGTATGATCCAAAGTAAGTCAAAGCAAGCCTGATTGTTTCAATATTTACTAATTTTAAATTATCTTATGGTTTGGTTATTATAGTACACTAAAAAAATTCAGTTTAAATTTTAGGCACAATAAGAACAACTTTTTGTATCTTATCCTTGTTGCTTCGTAACAGTTTTATGAAGAGCAAAAGTGGTGCAATATGTGAATATTTGGTGTAATTTTTATCATTTCTACATTTACTTTAAAGTAATTTGATATTTTTTTATAATCTCTGAGCTGAAGTTTAAAGTGAAAGTAAGGCACGGGTGGGATTTAATTTAATATAACATTTATTTAATTCATTATTCGGCAGTTAAGTAATGATACTGAAAACACACAAAACAGAAAGGCACTTGAAATAATGTACGGAGTGATTCATAGTAAGGAACCACACAACCAAATATATTGTTCAACTAGAGCATTTTATCATAACTGCTAACCATTCAACCATTTTGCAAGTAATTGTTTGCAGTTCTTGAAACAATATGGAGAATATTCTCTTCAGTACTTAAATTTGTTTGTTGCTTAAACATAACCTAAATGTTGTCAACTACAATATTTAAAACAAAAAACTTGCGTTAACATCAATTTTGTAGTAAGTGTTGGTAAGAGTTTTTTATTTCCTAATATAACTGAGACGGCTTTGAATTTGGTTGGTGTTAATCTCAAGAAAATCATTAAATATTTTGGTAGGACCTTTTTTCGATATTATGGGAGAATCACATATATTGATTTGTTTCACCGGATTGGTAGGTTTTTATTTCCAATATTGCAACAATTGTTTCCAGGTTAATTTCAAACACTGATGTGTTTGGTTAAATGATCTTTGTTGGAATTTTTAACAAATTTTGCAAAGTGATTTTTTATCTACATTCAAAAAATCTGAAGAACATAATAGTGAATTAGTGTAAAAATTTTAATTGTGGCAACATAATAAACTTGGGATGATCTTGACATAAACCCTAAAGGACTCTTAATCCTCCAAAAATCACTGAAGAGTAACAAGCGGAAATCATTATATAAATAAACACTAAAAATTGTAGAATGAGTGAAGATTCTCACCAAAATTGTAAAACTAAAGTTGACGAAAAATATAGAAAAATTAAAAAGTTATTGAAAATCAAAAAACCTACAAATTAGTCTCAATTTCATGATGTAACATATTAAGATAATGGAGAGATATATTACAGATGTGAAACATTAATTGTTTCGATGGAAATTAGCTGTCAGATATGTTTAAAGGTCAGATGAAATAGTGACCCTAAAAATTGTGAAAATGAAAAACGTATGATTGCTTGTTTTTTAAAATTTTACAACAAAAGTAAAATAAAAAATATGTTAAAACAATTGAAAAGAGAAAGTAAGCACAGAGATATACAAGATAATACATTGTACAATAGACAAATTAATAGGCACTTAACAATGTGGCAAACCGTCATTGCAAAAATGAATAATGAAACAAATGGAAAAAATATAATTGATAAAAGTACAAACTTCGAGACTTGCAGTGAAAATAATATTTATAAACGCAAGACCATAAAACAAATAATTAAAGGCAGCACCTAAAATTATTGTTATTTTGAATTCTGCATATACCTACCTATTTGTCGATTTCTTATTTTGGAGTATTCGCAACTTCGAGGTGTTGGCAATATTTTACCCAAAATAAATTATGAACACATCCCCCTTATCTTTCCCGATGTTAGATAATTTTTTATTTTCAATAAAATGAAGGTAAATGAACAATAACACCTCGCAAAACATTACAAGTGTTCTTATTGTGCTACAAATCCGAAAGACAACTGAAAGATATTTGATTTATTCTACATTACCTTCTATTATAACAATTCAAATAAGATGAAAATGTACAAGTTTGGATGAGTGATTTTAAATAAATTTTTTTAGTTTATTCATTGTAATTACATTTGTACATAAGATGAGGCATTGTAACTTGTAACAAGCTTTCTAAGTACCTATAATCATTGTATAAACTAAAATTTAATATCAATTCTATAGGTTTTCGAGCAATTCAACTGATTGTTTTTACTGTTGTGAATAAAAAATTTGTTAGTATTTGTGTTTATTGAACAGAAAATCCTGTCTTTGTTTTACGATTTAGGTATCTATAAAGGTAGTTGATTCTTTTATTTAGTTCGTACCATTTGGTCGGACGCACAGTATGGTATGGCGTTCGCCCTAACATTTTTCGTTTCCGAAGAAGCACTTGATATTCGTTGCCACTGACGCCTCGCAGCCAATATGGTACATTATATAAAATTCTGGTCGGGTGTAACTTTTCGTTTCCTAAAATATCTATGTAATCGTTTTGACCGAATAAAGCCCTCTTTTCGTTCCACGCATCCTTTGGTCTGTATGTAGGCATCGGAAGCTTTGGAGCATTTTTGAGACGCGGTAATAATCCACCTTTGAATAAAGGGTCATCGTAACCGTACCGTCTGATCAATGGGCCCTTAGCAATTTTTTCGGAGTGATACCGATATCGGACTGATATTCGCTGTGGATTCCATATACATTTTTGACAAAAATTTGCCACTGTGTTTACGAACGGAATCATTTTATTTTTGATTTAACCTCACTTTTTATTTTTTTGTGGCTATGTTATTGACTAGAAGTTTGCGATGGTGGTGTGGTTGTGTCTATTGTTACTCTTTTATTCTAAATTTCATTGTTCTAAATGAAGTTAAAAACTATGGATTGATTTAAGATGAGGCGCGGCTGGTGAGAGATCAAACGGCCCGGTTTAGTAAAGTTTTAAAACATGACTGCATCGAGTAGTTCACCTAGTAATCATCAAATTATTGCTTTGGCAATGTTGGTTGGAAGTTGAAAAAGAATAAAAAAAAAAGAAGACGAAATCTGGGTGCTGTTTTCGCAAGTTTGTTTAGGCATCATTTAGCTACTTTTTCATGAAAAAAAAATCGAACCAATGCATTTAAGTTTTTTGAGAAAATTAACCATTTCTGTCGGAATGTCAAAAAAAGCCCTCAAGCGGTGATATGTGAAACTAACAAAATGTCAAATAGTATAATATTTGTACAATGAATTATTTGTAGCTGAAGAATAGCTCTTTTGAACTAACCTGAGTCCTGAGTTTGTTTAAATCGGCTCAGCCTTTATTCATTGGCTCAGCCGTTTCGAAGATACAGGGTGTTCTTTGCGGAAACCTTTGAATACCCCCACCACTTCATTTTTAGAGATACGGAAAAATTGTCAAACAAAAAAGGTTCCTATTATCGTCAACTTCAAAGATCGGGCATTTTTTTGTTAGGTTAATATAGTGGAATTCACGGAAAAATCACTTTTAGATTCCAGATTGCAGTTACGCCCCCTAGCGACCATTGCGGAAACTTAAAAATATTTTCCACGTTTTTCTCGTGGCCGTTTTAGTAATAAATTTTCTACCGCAAGCCTCTACGATGGACAGGTTCTCAGATACAGTAACTCGCATTCTTATTTGGCCACCCTGTAAGACTGTACAAGTCTCTAGGTGTGTTTTGTTTCGTTAAATGAAACTGTTCATCACTCAATTCCTCAAATGGATTTTTAAACACATGCTGAATACGATAGACAAGTTACGTCAAGGTAAAAATCTAAAAAAAGTGGCACGTGCCATAAATTCGAGTGGTTTATACCTTTCGTTGTAAAAAAAATGCCATTTACGAATTGGAAATATTTTCGAATGGTCAAGAATACCATTCGACCAAAGTTCATCGTTTTGGTTCAAAAATCGAATCGTATGGTATAGCACTCCCTATTATAAGTACAGACGTTTTCAGTTCAGGTCGAATTAACAACCGTCTGTGTGACTTAACGACAGTCGTGGTATGACTGACGGGACCGCCAGCTTTACATGTCTTCCGATATCCGAAGCATGGTAGTCAGAAGATGTTCTGTACCGCTAAAAACTGGCAAGTTGTGGGATTCGAACTCACAACCTGTGAGGTTAGAGTCCGAGTCTTAAACCTTGATAAATACGTAGTCAAGAATAGGGCCCCTGAGGCCTGACAGAAAGCTGATTATTAAGCGTAGCCATTCTGATAATTTGCTGCGTAAAAATCTTAGCTGCTGAGCGTGCCCAATATTTTGCTGCGTGTAGCCGTGCTATAATAGACACTATTTGTAACCTAACATAACCTCTTCGTTGTAATTTTTATTCGCGATGTCCGATGTAAACGTTGGGTCATTGGAAGAAATAGCTTTAAAAAGAAAAGAAAAACTGCAAGCTTTGAAAAGGAAAAGAGAAGGTAATGAAGAACACAATTCTGTGCCAACAAATACACAAACAGTGCTTCCGAAGTAAGTAATGCAGTCTTGTAAAATCTGAATTCTTTTTATTCATACTTTGTAGACCAAAGTTTCGGAGTTATAAACCAGAAGACGAAAAACTAAATGAACATAAATTAGAAGATGCAAAACCTGGCGATGTCGAAGCAGAAGTAAAAGATCAGTTGAGTTTAGGGAAATCGCAAGTAATTATTGATGAACTAGATATCACCAACTTAGCTCCAAGAAAACCTGATTGGGATTTAAAAAGAGATGTAGCCAAAAAGTTAGAAAAACTGGAACGTAGAACACAAAGAGCAATTGCAGAATTGATTAGAGATCGCCTGAAAGAACGTGAAACTTATATTAGTTGACATCTTTGTTGGCATATGCAGATTACAGTATTACTTAAACTGAAGACTTTCAATTGTAATATAATGATTCGTTAACATTTCATAGTTTCTCAAGGATTTTGTTCATTCTTGTCATTTTGACTATTAATATTGTATTAAGTCATAAGTATATCACTTACCTAATTTGAATTAAAACAAGAAACTTACATTTTTATTTGTTTAAGTAGTTTACAGACGCATACATTAATTTTGTATCCACATAAAAATCAATGAGGTTTTTCCATTGCTAAACTGTATGACCAAAAATTTATTGCAAATTTTGTTTAATTAAATGCTTTGTTGCAAGGTTCATAAATTGTATCTGCCAGTCTTCTTCTTTAAAGTTTTAGATGACATACCAACAATATTAAATAAGTTAGAACACATATAGGCAATTACAGCTCCAAGTGAACACGGTATAGGCCAAGCTTGCCAAGGCCTATCCCAGTCTAATGGTATTACAACAGCCCCTAACCAGGCTCCGACCAATGTAACACATATGTTCTGTTTGATGGTTTCAGTAATGATATCGCCTTCAAATGACGTTAAATCAATAAGAATGGCAATTGTAACATCAGCGCCAACTGCCAAACAAGATGGTAAAACTGTCAGCACTGTTAGTAATAACGCAAACATGAAAGTCTCCTCATGGGATGACAAAAACGGTGCACCAAATAATACAGCTAAACAATAATAAATTACAATACTAGTACATAAAACAAGAGCACATTTAAGTTTACTGCTTAAATTAAACTTCTTTGGTTTATTTTGCTTTTCTTTTGTGGAAGTTTCGGAGGTAAACGGTCGAAATACTACTTTCAGACATTCGCCAACGATCAGCACTCCAATTACTGGCAAAGAACTACGTTTTCCAATTTCGTATATTTTATGAGTGTAAACCAATATAAAAATAATAAAGGAGGTGTAAATGCTTGTGCAAATACTATGTAATGTGATTATCCTTCTGAATCGAACATCACTTGTAACAGCAGTCATTTTTATGTCCACTTAATCTTGATAAATGATTAACTACTTAATGAACGTAAAGAAACGACACATTTATAAGTCAAAGATTATTTTCCATACTTTTTCATCCATTCTTGTTAATTTCTGAATGCACTTACACTTATAACAACAACTAATGTAGGGTTATGTTGAATTTCTTGACCTTTGACGTTCGGTGACCACAGATCTAAATAAAGGTCAGTGGCGGTGGCAGAGTAGGACACACTCACTAATCAGTAGCGTCTCAACAATATTTTTCTTTGGGAACCCTTTTTAGCACAAAAATGTAAATTTAAGTCCAACTCCGAGGAAATCAAAAACCCTACATATAGCGAAAGTTCTGCATTCAGTAATATTAGAATGTTTTACTTTGGCCATCCCTATTTGTGACAATTGAGGAAGATCACAATTTTTATATCAACGAAAACCCTAACCTCTTCTTACTCTTAATTCAGAAGCACTAGCGTGCCTTCTTGAGTTTCATTCTTCTTGGGATATGCGAATAACCAGAGCCCATCAAAAATTCGGTAAAATGTGATTTCACTTGGCATCACCACAGTGGAGGAAGAAGACGTTTCCACGTTCTTTTGAATCAGCTTCTAATGTAAATAAAATATTTTAGAGCGTCTAATACCGAAAATAAACGTAATCGAATCAAAAGGCAGTTGACAGCTGTGAAACGAACTCGCAAGCTATACAGAAGTGTAGGTACTTAACCCCCGAGATTCTACCCTTACTTCACACTACAAGAATACGGAAATTTCAACCCGGCAACGTTTAAAAATTGCCACCCGAATGAAGATTCCCTCCAAAATTAAACAAGATCCCGCATAATTTTAAAAGGTGCATGTGATCGAACATCTAAGGCAAAGCCCCCCTTACGTTAGTTGTAAATAACGCTTTGACCAGAAGCACAGAAGGGAAGGAACGTAAAATAAAACACTGAAATTGTGAAAAGGTTGTTTAATAATGATTGCAATTATTAAGATTGTGAAAGCCCGGAAATTTAGTTGATGTACATTAATGCATAGTATAATACAAGTTGGTTACACTCAAGGTTAAAAACAAAGTTTGGGAACAATGCGGGTCAGGTAAACAGGGACATCAATTCTGAGAAAGGGTGAAGGTACAGGATGTGACTCATCTCTGTGCAATAAGGTGTTTTTGTTAAAAGCAAGATGGAAAATTACTTGGCCTTGTAGGCAAATTCAACTATCGGCAGAAATATGTGCAGGGACTTAGCAAATCGTAACTCATTTATTTCATATAGATTCTAAACTGAAGAGTTTTGATTAGCATAATCTCGCTTCGGCAAGATAGATAACTCGCTCCTGGTTCGGGGTTTCGAGCCTAACATTGAATGTCGAAGACAATCACGGAATTTGGTGTAGTAGCTCAAATGACCACCCCCGTGACTGCTTCATTCACGGAGAAAAGTTAGTTACAAACAACAAGTACATACCTACACCAAATTAATCGGCAATTTGCACATATTAAAATAAAATAATCAAAACTTATATGAATGTTACTTCAGGGACAAGACCAAGTAATTCACACATAAAACATAAATTAAGCAAACATTACAGCAAAAACGTAAACAATTACAAACAAAAGCATAACGGTATCAAATATGTGATTCTGCATTAAGGTTATTAGATCAAGTTAATATCATAAACAAAGATTGAAACTCACAAAAATATAAAATGCTGCATACACAACACAAATACGATATAAAGAAATGCAAAGATTACTACCTGCATAAAATAACACAAACATTTAAGGACCGACGCGTTCGCGACAGCCAATAAAAATAAGATAAGATGCCAAACGTAACCAACGTTCGTGCTCTCATCGCTTTCCCCTCCTAAAAATTGCGTTGCCTCTCAAAAATGTGTGCATCGTCGTAAGTTGTATATACGGGGTGAAACCTCTCAAATTAAACCTAACAAATATGGTACCTACTTTAATTTTGTGTATTATGTTTTTTTTATAATACCTAGGCATATTTTTTTCAGTTGGAACCTTTATAAAAACCGAAAAAAACTGGAACCGAACCGAAACCGGTATATCGGAACCCTTAAAAAATAATTCTACCTAAGTATAGTACGGAGCCGGACCCTGCCTATATACATAATTCATACCTATAGGTTTCAACCCTGTTAATAACAGGTAAACTGGATGTACATAGGAAATCTGATTTAGAGAGCAGGGCGAGAGTATGCAATAATCCTCCTTGCGAGTATATAGAGTCGATATTACTCAAACCCTCCATTCTCGAGCCGAAATTGAGGCCTTTGATCAAAGAATACTTACTCTTTGCTTTGGTGTAACGACGGGTCTATTTTTTGCCATGCCTGCTCAACGCCCAACAGCGTAACTCTTAGTGTTGAGTGAGCGACAGCCGACAGGCACTCACAAAATATGTGGGATGTCGCGAAGCCACCGTAATATTACGGTGGCTTCGGATGTCGCCTCCTCGCTAATGTTGCATCATGTGTAACAAGGTATTACAGCCAAGCCCACAAATATATTTGCTTCTTCAGTATTTTTTTCTCTAAAAAAAACTTATTTAGACTTTTGCTCTAAAATAATTAGGGGAGCTAGTAATTGACTATAAAGAAATTACCATTGAAATCCCTATGCTGCGTCGCGCTAGGCACCACCCGGTATGAAGGTATAGGTACTAAAAATATTAAATTTGATTGAGCATTTCTTTATTTTCGACAAAATGATTAATCAGTGATAATTTAATTACTTCACTCTGCTCTCTTCACTTTGAAAAAAATTAAGCATAAGAACCTACTTATTATCAGATTATGATATGCGAAACCTAAATCATTTTTTAATGACAGTAGGAGAACATCCTCTATTAATTAATTAAAATTCGTTTTCGTGAAAGTTATAGGGTAGATTGAACGATGAAATATGTGTTGATCAAACAGAAGGCAAACTTTAATTCAGTCAACATTTAGGTACACTACTATAGAGCGACCTTGATCTCTACCTAAACTAATAATCTACTAAAATTAGACCATTTTATAGACAAATTATTGATATTTTTATTTGTAAGAGTGACTCAGCTGTGATGGTTGGACCCATTCAACATCTTCATAAAATCTCGGATCACTGATTCGCAACGCCGCTCTTTTGTAAAAGTAGTAGTAAAGTGGGGCCACTACAATGACCAAAGTTAGAAAATCGAAGTACAACGATACATAGACGTACCGAATCTTTGAAGTGTATAAAACACGTGCAATCCAACTGACCAGTTGTGCTGCAATGGATGTTTCCATCGAACCGATAGAGTCCATATATGTAAAATGGTTGTGAGAATAATATACACTATACATATGATAATTGTTAATCGAAACCGCTCATACAATAGTTGAATAAGCCCAGCCTAAACATAAACGAATAATTGATTGCAGTAGAGTAGTCAACTATGCATACCTGGAAGACATAGGTAGAAAAAAAGGTTAATAATAATGTTGCTACCGCCAATATTAAACAGACGTCTTGTACACTGAAATATAAAGTCGTGAGGTCCACCTAGCAATTTATATAGGTAACTTACATGAACAGCACTAGTAGCACAGCATTATGTTTTCTTAATAATATGGAAAATGTATTAATACTCAAATCTATCAGCAATAGCAAAGTTTGAATGCATAATATTGCACAGTACCGACGTATTGTTAATTTCATACCTGCACATGTAATTTATTCATTCATAATTTTCGCTAGTTTCGGTCAGACGTTTTTGAACTTTGACATTTAACCCACTCTTGAAACAATACAAACACAAAATGCGTCAGAGTGTTGATATTGAATTTTCGTGACCCGATTTCGGCGTTGCGACGCTTATTGACTTGACGTCTCTATTTTCCCGCGAATACTTTGAAAGCGTTCCTCTCCTCTAACAATTATGCGAGTCGCTCCTATACCAATATGTATTAATACCTAGGTTAAGTCGAGGGTAAAATGAAATATTATAAAAATATAATTTGCACAAAAAGTTATACCTAATCATTGATACAGTGTGGGCTAATAATTATTAACACGCTAACCCATTTTTGCAGCAGTAAAAATTACAAATTTTAAATACACCGCAGCACTGCTCAGTAGATACAAAATCTTCGATGCAATCTATAGGTAGGTATATGTATATGTATCTCGCACCAATTCCGTAGTGCTTGATTTTGTATTTTAAAATAATTGTCATTATTTATTCATATAAACAATGATGACTAGAATCATTTGCTAACCTACGGTTGAATAAAAGGGTTCAATATTTTTTAAATTTTTTACGTTATATCGTTGAGTGAAAAATTATTCAATGGTTATATATATTAGCGTATCAGCATTAATTTTTATAAATCCAATGGTATCAGTTACCTAGTAGGTAATACCTACTTATTATTTTTTTTTACCCCCCTATAAATCATCGAAAGAACGTATAAACATATAAACGAACGTAATAACGTGTAAAATCAAATTGTCTGTAAAGCCCAAGGTTAATAGAGAAAGTAGGTTGCCCTTAGACCATATAGTACATGGACTGCTATTAGCCCTATGCTTTCAATACAAAATGGGTGGTTACGGATAGAGGGCACTGTAGTCGTGGGTATGTGAATCTCAGGGTAAACTAAAGTCGTATGAACACCACTCGGATCGCGTAGAGTCGTTTTTATAGTAACCGCGTAGTACGGGAAGCTTTAAATACTCTTGATTATCTTCTACACGTTCACTAATAAGAATAGGTTTGCTTTTTTGGCAATCTAGGCGATTAATTCATTGACGTTTGTTAATTTATAGGTTGACAGTCTCAAATCGTGTCTAATCGGACAACTTCGGACAGACTCGTTTACCCTGAAACTTACATACCCAGGCGATGTCCTTGACCCATTGAACTATATACTCTGTAACTGGAACGGCATCGATCGCCAAAATCGCGTGCCGCAATGATTCTAGGCAACCAGCATAACGTAGATATTCTCATCCTTGTCTGGCACGTTGTTTTGTATTGCATATGCAGGGCCGATCACACGTATTTGGTTAAAAATACAGATAAGTACATAAACTGGGAGTTTGGGGTCTTAGAAAGATAAAGATAAATGCTTGCCGATGCTTTTATAAGAGCCAATATCTATTTGTTAATGGAATATCTTAAAATATATACTTAATAATGTGGTAAACTGCGCCATTTCTCACTCACACACTCACATACTTGATTCTTGTAGTTACAAAAGTATAATGTCAACTAATGTCATTCATGGTGGCTCGACGCATTCCATTTGCTTATTAACGTAAAATAAAGTTATAAACATTGGTTGTGTTCGTTTGTAACGTACACTTTACATAATATATTAGCAAGGAGGTACCTAATATATTACAATTGGCGTCGAGGTAAAAGTAAATCTAAAAAAGCACTTTTTTTCAGAATAAAATGAGTTTAAAGAATCATGGTTACTTTAAGAGCAAAAATTCAATTTACTCGTAGTGGTCACCGCAGCGCAGCCCGATGGATCCTTTGTTTTCGGAACTATACCTTGACACATCCAACGTAACTATAAAAAAAATACAAGTTGTAGTGTTGGTGGTGCCATCGACAGTATAGAAGAATTCAGGATAAATAGGTACCCATTGGAACATCAACGGTTAGCGGCTTGAGTAGTGCATAAGTGCAAATTTCGTTGATGAGCAGCGAAAGGTTTCTGGCGCATCTAACCACGGTAATTGGACCAGAGGGTTAATTGCGCTACTTATATAACCCAGTTTTCTTCCAAGATGAAACGTACGCCGAGTTATATGAGGTCAGAATTACACCTTCTACAAAAGGTCTCCATATTTTCCGGAACTCGCCTTTATAACTTGGCCCCAAAAAAACTCAAGACCTGCAAATCCTTCGGAATATTTCGTAGGGAAATAAAAAAGTTTTTCAAATGTAACTGCTTCTACACCATTAAAGCATATGTGGATGGATATGGATGTAGAAAATGCAAACCGTGATATTTTCTACTCTAACTTTTGTGATATACCTACCTGTGTGATATGTGTACCTATGCTTTTATATTTTATCTTTACACTTTGACGCCTCCTAATGTACGTTCATTGTAGGCCGAAGGAATCTGTAATAAATAAAAAAATCAATCCTTAAAGGTATTTTTCGCCCCATTAGTGAGCAGTATCAATAGTAATGTTGAGTAAAAAATTAAATAATAAAGAACTTCATATTCAAATTAGTAAGTCAAAACGGCTTTATAGGTTTTGGTGGCTTTAACGCTTATCTTCACATGATGCTCTCTAGCGAGTGGAATCAATGAATTAGTATTAAACAGTGGGAAAGAAGAATTATCATTCATAAGGACAGTATAAATGAGTGTGAGGTACAGTAGTAAAGAAATCTGAGCGGTGCAAATGCCGTCATGCGCAAAAATATTAAATGCGCGCGTCGAGGTTGAAAAATGTTATCAAAACGTACCCATGAAATTGAATATTTGAATTTTTATTATAAAAATGATTGCACGTATATGCAACATAATTCATGACCATTCTTGCAAATCTCTTAATAACTTATTTTAGACAAAAATAAGCAAAATGTAAGACGTAGTATAAACCATCCCACAAGCCCACATGAGTGGAACAAGGTAAGGGATACCTACGTCCACCCATCTCTCTCTCACAAAAATTCGCCACGGCCCCTGGCAACGGCTTATTACGGGCGATGCCGTTCCAGTTACAGAGTATATAGTTCAATGCGTTGACCATATTTTCGTTACAATTAGCAGTCCATGTACTATATGGTCTAAGAGGTTGCCTCGTCACTTTCAGCCAATAAACGTTCAGTATTAAAATACGCGAATGGTCACCCAGAATCCCATTACCTATGTTCACATCATAAAAATGAATTACAAGTACACAGAGCAAGTTCAAAAAATACAAAATGGATCGAAATGGTACTTTACATGGATGTGCATTGCAAAGAAAGAAACATGCTAGCGAAATATTAAACGTACTTTATTCAAAACAGCTTACATTTTATCTTCATAGTCTTCGACCGGGAATGCAGACTGCACATTCTATTGCATACGGGGTTCAGGTTCCCCTTTCCATTGCACTTTATAACATTCTTTTTGTAATACAGGAATTACCTTTTGGAAAAGCAAAAAACTGAATCTGCCATCCATTTGCTTTCGATTTGTTGGAGCTGCTATTGCATATAACAACGTCACACGGCAAATTGAGGCAAGGCAAATACAAAACGCAATGACAGGTTTGGCGATAAGAATGTCAATTTAGATACGGAAATTATAATTGGAAGCAAATAGTCGCGTGTGTTACAGGTTTTGACAATTCGGCCAATTAAAAATGTTCATTTAAATTTGCCGGGAATTGTTTGGGAGGAGCTTAACTGCATCTGTTGGGTGAACAGTTGTGCAATATTTGTACTTGTGCAAACCATTAGGAACTCAAGAATGCCATTCGAGGTAATCCTGCCGCTACTGAAATTATAGGTTAGAATGAGGTTAGGTTTCCCGTTTGCTCTAAACCGTCGATGAAAAATCTTCCAACGAAATCGGGGATGCTCGGATTAATCAGATGACAGTTACTGAACTCAGATGGATTTATTTGTGACGTCATAGATTTATTTACAACAGTTACCGAACGCCACAGACGCATCTGATTAATCTGAGTGAGTTAGCGAACCCCCCTATAGCATATTGTACACATATGTGCGCATGCGCAATGTCAACTTTCTTATTTATATTTTCTGCTGAAATTTTAACCAAAAATTCTTCTAGTAGATGCAAAATAGAGCATATTTCAAACATCATGGGTGCCCATGCGCACATTGTGCAATGTCAACTTTTTTAATTATTTATTTATTTAATATCCCTCGCTTGTTCTGGGCCCTCAACAGGCTTGCGCCCAATTACAGAGTGACCCTCTGCAGAAGGTCTTAAGTTGTTCTATACTACTCCGGTATTTACCTTACCATCTCTGCCACAGATGAAAAATTCACCTTAACCCAGGTTCGAACACCCGACCTCCGGATTTATAACCCAACGCTCTACCATTGAGCCATAATGATTATGCAGATATTTTGGCGAAATTATAACCAGATGCTTCTAGTTGACAGGCATATTGATATTGTATACTTATTTTCCTTTGTACACATAAACAGACCGTTATATGACCTTTGGGAAGTACTGATCATGGAAAATGCGTTCAAGGTATTCGCCCTAAGCCGAAAACCTTGTTTTCATTTTTTTTACATAAGCCCCGTACTTAAGTATATGCAATACGGAAATTAGGTATAGAGGTTACATCGGATGTGTACTCTAGGCAATTATGTCTTCAAATACATTAAGTTATATGTATCAATTTAGAATCATAGAACGTTCTCTCAAATCTAAAAAAACACCAAAAAGATAATTAGTACCATTTTAATGCGTATGGTAGGTGAATGCCTTATTCCCTACAAAGTTTTGTCGCATATATACCTACTTAGCCACAAACGTTTGTCATTAATATATTCTGTTTTTTTCAAATAGAGTACACTACTGAATTGAATGAATAATCGTATTGACTACAAAATTACTAAAAATTTACAGAGTTGTTTGTTGATGGTGACACTTTTACTGCAGCAAGGCGTTTTATTAGACGTTAGCGGTTTCATGACGTTTTTGTTACTTCAATAAAGACTACAAGTGTTTCCATCTAAAATAATAAAATTTAATAAAAAGGTGTTTTATTTCACAAGTTTATCTCTATGTCTAAATTAAAATATACAAGTATGTACACAGCAAAGAACATCATTCTTAAAAGTATCTACTTTGTAATTATAGCTATAACAATTCATGACTTATAAGCAATCACAAAATTCACTTTACATCCACCTGCGGATTTATAAGTCAATGCTTAGAATTGGTAAAGATAACACACGAAATTGGAAGGGTAAATGAATAATACTGTGAACAAATTTGGTAACTGTACATAGTTTAATGGCACAGATTGCTTACTAAAGTCACGTGTCACCGTGAAGTTGTTTTAGAAAACTATCAACATCAATGTTTTGGAGTAATTGGCAAACTTCAGGTTCTTTCCTTTCCTCGTCCTTTTGTTCAACTTGTTCCACTGCAGATTTCCTATAAAATATGTAAATTAATCTCCCATGTTACAAACTAGATGATTGAATGCTTATAACTCATAATAAATTAAATTGCACCCTAAAGTGTTTCCATGTTTCTGTAAAATATAGTCTTAGAATATAATGATGGAAAGCGTGAACGCAAACTTCAACAAAATGTAACACATTTTTTTAAATAAATGAGCAGCAAAGATAGTTAAAAATTAATAAAATTACCTTTCATCACAGAGATCATCGTCTTCATTAATCCTTTGACTTCCAATTACAGCATAATTCATTAGAGAATCTTCACTGGTTTTCACTGTGTCATCTTGATCTGTATCTGCATTTTCCAAACTGTTATATAAGGTTTCTATTTGCAGTTCGACTTTTTCTTTACTTTTTGCTACATTTTGTATTTTAGGACTTTTTGGTGTAGTAGGACATTTTTGTATAAGCTTATCTGGTTCACTTTCTTTTGATTTTTCATCATTTTTTTCTTTGTCTCGCTGCTGCTCAATTTTTCCTTTGTCATCCCTAGTCATTTGTAACCGTTCATTACTTGCAACTTCAGAACTCTTTTCCGATTTGCGACTGCTTTTAGAATGTTCACGTTGTATCTTTTCAAATTGATCACTTCGTCTATTACTATTAGACGTACTTTCTCGCGAGCTACTACTGGGTGAATACAAATTGTCGAGGGGCGATTTGTGAATTTTTGGTTCTCGCTTTACGAGTTGCTTGTATAGTGTGTCAAGCGGCCTCAGTTTCTTTTTTACAAGACTATCTTTTGATTTGACACTTGCAGGTTGTTTCCTGCTTACAGAACTCTCTGGTGACAGCTCAAAGATAAAATTAAATGGCGTAAAGGACATCAGTTTTTCTACATTTTCTCCAATTTCCTCTATGTACACATATGCTTCAAATTTTTTATTGAGAATTTCGAAATCGTAATCTGATAATTTCTTGGATGACTTTGAATTACCATCGTGTGTAATTTTCAATGTTTCTCTTTCAAATGTCTTAGTGTCAAACTTAATTGAAAAATCCGGTTTGATAATAGCGCATTGTTGTTTTACCTTTTCCTGCGAGTCTGTACGCTTTTCTTTACTTAGCTCTTTCGAAGAACCACCAAGTTTGTTTAAAGCTGGTATTTCTTTCTTTCTACCTTTTGATGTCTTGTTTACTGTGTGCTTCTTAACATCATGCAAATTTCTTAAAGCGTCCTTCTTCAAGTTGACACTCTTGCTTTTTGATTTTTTATAATCTTTTTTAACTGGGCTTAAGATTTCACCATCTTCCAATGTAGAATCTAAATTAGTTGGGGTACTAACAGGTTTCTCCTTCACATTGCTTGTACCTACAAATAAACCTGCATAATTAATAAAGAGGACTAGATAATTTATAAAGAAAAAATGTTTGCATCATGGTCTCACACACTGCACATACCTTACAAACTGTCCTAGCTTTAGTTACTAGTGACAAAAAAAAATGAGAACCATTTTGGTAGCAAAAATTATACTTCTAAAAAAGAGCTGCTTCTATTACATTAAGATCTACCACGGAGAGGTTGGATGGAGTACAACAATCACAATAAATAAGGTAAATGTTCCAATTATCGACAATTTTGAGTTACATATTTTCTATATATCGAGAAGAGAGCTCCCATGAAAATGTTCATTGAACAAGTTTCTTATTTCTAGTTTCTTGAAGATACGCATTATTGTTATTATATATAATTTACCATCAATTTCTCTTAAGCATCCCCTACACAAAAATTGCTGCTAATCAGTCAAGTGTCAGTCGTCGTCGAGTTAACAGTGTTTTCCTTGCGGATCTGGTAAGTGCGTACACTTTACTTATGTATGTTCACAAACCCACAAGATGTTGAATACAAACATACTTCTATATGCTTGGTTATCACATGTCAGTAATTGGTTATATTTGATTTTCAGTCACTTCTAATTTTTTAAAATGCCTAGAAGTCTACAATTTATGTAGGAAGACATGAAGAATGCTGTGTCCGCCGTTAAATGCCTTTTTTGAAAGCTTCCAAACAATTCTGACTTCCTAGAACAACGCATCTGCATAAAGTTCCAATAGAGAGAAAAATAGGTCCTGTAACCATACTGAGATGGGAAGAAGATATATTATTAGTAAAGTGGATGTTTCACGTAGCCAGATGTGGCTACAGTACATGGATTGCTATTAGTACAGTCAAATTGTATCCAAATTCGTCAAATATCCAAGAAAATTGCGAAGTCTTTGTAACTTTGTATACTTATACATAAATATATTCTGTTTAAGAATTTGATGAGTCCCTAGCGTTATATAGTGTGCTCAGCCCAAAATGAAGGTTTAAAAACCATCACGCCGCTCGCCCACCTGTCGTAACGGCTCGTTCACACAGCACAGTTTTCCCAGATCGGATTTTTACCGTATACGCAGAACCAATAGAATGATGATCTTGCGGAATTCTTCAAGTATGAACTTGCTCCGTATCCACTTTCAGTGTAAAGGCACCAGCGAAATAAGGAAGACCAAAAATTCTGCGGTTTATGACGTGTTCTGCTCAAAACATGTCAAAGTTGTTATTCTTGCACCGGGATCGTTGGGAAAAAGACCAAGGACAATGGCCAAGATATGAATCTAATACCTTTTTTGACAGCCATATGTATTTCGTGGTCGTTAAAAAAGTGATGGTAATCCTGAGGATCGTTCGATATTTTGTTGTATCGGTTTGTTTTTAATGAAAGTATGACGCAATAGAAATGTTTAACAATAGGAGAACATGCGTGTAGTCGGTGAGGACTTTGATCCTCTTGTTCTCTTGCCTTTAACACCAAAAAATATAAAGATAAAGTCAGACAAAGGCAAAACTAAGAAAATTTTTGCAGTAGTGATACCACATATTGTATGTTTCGGAAGCAAAAATTACCATTTTTTAAACTCTTGCAAAACAAAATGCAATTGGCTATAGTGAGAACCTTCAATGACCAAAATTACAACCCTATTATATAAGTAAGAGATGCTGGTGACCGCATTTTTCTGATGGCATACGGTGAAAAGAAAATTTGAAATCTTCCGTTAATTCATATAGGTTTTACCAATTTAAAAAATTGCTGCAAAAGCAAAAATCGGGGCCGAATTATTAGCACTAACTTGAGTGGCCGCCGCTCAGCATTACTCACGAGTATTCTACCAAATTCAGATATGGCTTCATAGTATCAAAATACCGAACAGTGGGGATGGAAGAAAATCAACGGCTCATTGTAGCCTATTACAACACTCTTGACGCGAGGACCACAATCCGTACAAGTGTCGGTACTACAATTTATTTCGTGCAACAGTACGGTTGCATACATGTAGCAAATTTTCAAACATCTTTACGACGCCGTCACCCACTGATCTCGAAAAAGAGTCGCGCGGGAAAGTAATACTTTGTACACACCAATTTGTTTCGATGAGACCTTTCATTAGAATACCATGAAAGGTAGAACGTTTGTTTATTTTATTATTTTATTATCGCTCTCTTGTTTTTGGGCCCTCAACAGGCATGCGCCTAATTACAGAGTGACCCGCATAATGCTATTTAGAGGTGCCACGGTAAAAGTGGGTTCGGACGGACGGACGCACGGACAAAACGCAAACAATAGCACATTTTTTGTTAATTTTTAAAAAATACGCTACAAATGTCACAAAGTATTTTTTTAATAGGATTTAACTACCACTTCCTGTTAAAAAAGTGAAAATCCAGTTCACCCTACGTTCTTTGAGCATGACCACTCCAGCACACCTCTTGTGGTTAGGGACTCTTCGTTTCCTTGAAATATATGTATTTTCAAACGTCTATACCAAGTTTCAACTACTTCGCAATTTTCTTGTCTATTTTGGACAATTTTCCTGTACTATATGAGGCCTATGTTTTAAATACAAAATGGGTGGTCATAGATAGGGGGCACTGTAATCATGCGTATGCGAATCTCAAGGTAAAATACAGGTATGTAAACACCACTCGGATAGCATAATGAGTAGCTTCTATAGCAACCGAGAAGCTTTAAATATGTACACAAATAAGAATAGGTTTGCTTTTTTGGTATTTCTAGGTGATTAATTAATTAATTAAGGTTTTTTACTTTAAAATTTGATCTCTGATCTCAAATCGTGTCTCATCAGGAAACTTCGAACAGGGTCGTTTTACCCTGAAACTCCCAGGCGATGTCGTTGACCAGGTAAATGGGTTTTCAATTGTGACGGAATCAGCTTTTTTCCTCAGTCCCACAGGAGGGAGAGCATTTACTCGTTCATATTCATAAGTAATATTTACCTTAAGAATTAGGGAAACTGCACGAAAACCTAATTCGGAGTAGCCGGTAGAATGCTTGAAACTGGTCTAAGGTAATTCCCATCTCTGCCACAGATGAAAAATTCCCCTCAACCCAGGTTCGAACAACCGGATTTATAGCCCAACGCTCTACCATTGAACCATAAAGCCGGTAAATAATGATTGATGATAAGAATAAGAATCAATACCATCAAACTAGGCGGTAGGTCGTTTAGATCCAAGTTGGATACCAGGAGAATCATTTTATGAATACACTGCGAATATATTTTTTCCATGGTTGAAGGAAAATAATATCACTTTTCCTGTGATACTCTTAGTAGATGAACATTTTTGTTCCAGCAATGGAATTGTTCTGATTAGCCCCTTCCACCCACATTCCCTAGGCACGTGATGTAGCGCTATTCCAGCCATTGAAACATACTGAAAAAAAGCTGTTATGGTGGATGGAAAATCAAGGTGTCAGACTTACAAAATATCGCCCCTCTCCTATACAAAGTTCTGAAGATATTCAAAAATAGATATTTTGAAAAATGGATGTCGCAGTTGTGGATTGTGCGGTTTTAGCCCAATATCAAAAATGATAATTTTTCAAAAGAAATTATGCGGGAACCCCAATTCAAGGCACAGAAAAACAAAGTGAGGTTAAAAGGCGGAACATGAAACAGATTTTGGATTATTTTGAGTCAAAAAAACAAAGAGATAGCCGAAATATTCCGCACTATCGGTGTTGGTGAATGGACTGAGCATTATCGCCAATTTTTCTTTAAGCGACTTAGATTCGTCACTTTGGGATATTAAGGCACAAAATTTGAGACTAGATATGCTACTGGATTCTACTGACCTCCATGATTACACTAATACCGATGAAAACTTGTTGGAAGCACATCAAGAAATTACGGAACAAGAGGACAATAAAAAAAAGTCAAATCATCTAATTAGCAACCAGACCTTAGTGAATCGGTTATCAGAAATGATACAGAAGAAAACCAAGTTATGGCAGAGATCTGGAGAACGAGATCTCCCCACTCTTTTCAAGAACTGGTCTTCTACAGAAAACCAACCATTACAAATAACAGGAAACAGAGCAAAATTAATGGCTGTTGCATCTTCCTCAAGCTGGCAGGAATACCACAAAAGGAATTTAGAGAAAAAAGGCGCGGGGCAGAGAAAAAAAGAAGAAAGACAATTGGGAAAAATACGAAAAAGTAGACAGAAAACCAGAAAAGAGAAAGAAATTGAGAAAGAAAATCAGCCTCAATCGGAAACTGACCCATACGATATTAGAAACTACGTTATGGTCAAATTCGATTCTGAATATTTCTCTGGTTTGGACATGTTGGAACAATCATATACTTACCATAAAGGTTATGGTATGGAGTGGTCGAAATTGAAAATGGTCAAATGTCGATATTTTAGAGTATGATATTGAAGAAATCATAAGCATAATTGCGTAGCCAAAACAGTTAAATAAATGTGGTATATATGAAGTACCTGAAATGGAAAAAATAGTTCCTACAAATTGATTCTGTATCAATGGTTTTGTTTTTTAAGTTTATTCAAGCGGTCATATTTTAGTTTTTTTAACGTTTCTGAATATTTTGATACTGTTTTTTTATTATACTTAAATAAAAATATAACTTTTTAACGATTTTCTAAGTTGCGAGAAGATCAGGTTAAGTAAATCAAGTTAATTCATTTCAAAGAAATGCGCATCGATCTGACGCTGACAACGAAGACGCAGGTGTTTCGACGAATTGCGCGTATCATGTCGGAAAAATTCGGACGCTCGGCGCGTTTCATTAGAGGTGATTATTTTATGGTGGAGGTGGTGTTTTTTTTTTAAATACTACAGACAAAGAACAAACGAGGAGGCTTCGAGTTTCGCTGTGGGTGAAGAGCGTGTATTTTTGCTTACGCTAAATTCTTGGGCAGTCAGCCCTATTTGTTTTGTTGAAGACCCAATTCATCATTTTTATAATAAATTTGTGCAGGTTAACCAAAGTTGAGTGAGAACTGAGAAATTTATGCTATTAGTAGTAAAAAATAATATAGTAATAATTTTAGCAGCTATGAGCTATTTCGCGAAAATCAGTGTCACAATGTCAGAGTCAGAGAGAGAGAGACAGACGATTTTAGTACATTTCGCGTAATTGGTATCAGAGTTTCAGTTGCCAAACCTTGATCAAAATGAAAGCAAAGAACAAGAATTCTTTAGATATGGAAGAAAACAAAGTAATCTCACCTTCTGATGATAGAGAAGAATACCTTGAGACAAGGAGAAAACTAAGAAATAGAACGGATGTACAAAAACCAACTCGATTTGAAGGCTATGCCATGATTTTTGCTACTGCCAACTCAATGCAAGAAAATGAAACCTATCCAATGGTAAAAAAGCGATTCCATGCAAATATATATTTAGATTGAAAATGAATCCACATGGTTCTATTGAGTAGTATGAGGCTACTGGTGATCGACTCACAAGAGGGGTAGATAGATACAAAAAAACGTTCAGTTCAATGGTGAAAGGCGGTTCTATAAGATCTGTGCTAAGGTACTACTGAACGAAATATGTTCCTAACGCAATTGAGGTTGGCACTGCATTTTTATATGGTAGGCTTGATGATGAAGTCTTTATGAAACAGCCTCAAGGATATGATGATGGCAGAAATCAAGTGTGTCACCTTCAGAAAAGCTTATATGGTTTTAAGTAAGCATTTCGATGCTGGAATAACCATTTTGTAGATATTTGATCTTGGATTTAAACAGAGCCATTCAGATCCATGCTTATTTTATGAGAAAGAAAATGACGAATGGAATCTTGTATGGTGATGATGGAAATTTAGCCTCTACCAACAATTCTTTGAAAGACATCTTCATTGCCAACTTGAAAAAAGTTCAAAATCACAGTTAAGCCAGCTTCCTATTGTATGGGTCTGGAAATTTCAGAGTGATGAACCACACAGCTTGCACTAGAAAAATCTTAGAAAGATTTAGAATGCAACACTGGTAGGACATGGCTAGGATTAAAGTCGCCTCCCCTCCAGCGTCCCAAGGTTGATCTCACATGTGGGATGGCTTAAGTGATGTTGAGGGGTCGGACGACCCTAGTCAGGGAGGTAGTACAAAGGGCCCGAATTTGAAGCACGCGTGGATCCTGTCTACTCTCCACATCCAGACTGCAAGACTGTAAACCAGTATTGTAAGAGAAACTACTCAATTAGAAAAGGAATCTAAAAAATAACATATATATAAAACATAATATATTATTTCCATACAGAGAGGCAGCCAGTGATCTGATATACCTCATCACCAGTACTCCACCTGATATTGTTTATGCAAACAGTGTTGCTTCAAGATCCTTAGAAAACACTAGTAGTTTGGACTGTTGGAAGAGTCAAGAGGATTTTCGCTATTTGCAAGGTGCTACCGTCAAATTCCTGTGGCCATTTAAACGTTCGAAGTTAAAGCTGAATGAAGACGTGTTGACACGTCCACTAAAGCTGAATTGTTTGTTGTCAATTATGCAGCATTATTTGTTTTATTAAGAAGTTTAATGTCAAGTAAATTGAAATTGTTTTATGTACCTTCCTGCCAAAAGGCTGAAGACCTGCTAAAATTCAGTAGGAATGAGTTACACAAGTCTACTAACAGAACATTGTCACATGAAAAGAGACCTGCACAAAATGGATGCCGTGCATTTATATACTGTGCCATTGCGAAGGGTATAATAATTTAAGAAAAATGCGTCCAGATATGCTTCAAAATGCTCCTCCCAAATAACTTATCCATGACTGACTAATGAAAGTGGAGTGTTGTTACAGTCAAAATAGTAATTGAATTTAGTGTAAGTAGTGAGTTTATTTTAGTGTTTTGTTTTATATGGTTTTTTGGGATATGTAAGGTATGTAAGTTCCTAAGTCCTGTCTGTGAAAAAGTCAGCAAAATTCCCGGGTGAAAGGTGTCCATTTTTAATTCATTTATCATTGATTGGTTTTATTGCAAATAAACAACGAAAATTGACAAAAAATGCTGTGCTCTTTATCTTAAAATACAGATAAATCGAGGGAGATTGGTATGCACTAGGACGCAAAAATTAGCGCATTTATTTGTCGCAAAAAATTATTAAGATTTATGTTTTTCACCCGTGTAAGAAACTTAAATTCCCCTCGCTTTTCAGTAGCACTGTTTAATGTCTGTGAAAATTTTCTTCCATTTAAAACGTTTATACAACTGTCTGAAACGATACATAAAATTATAGTTTACTGAGTTATTGGCTGTTTGCTTTTTTTATAGTAAGAAATGGGGAAAGGTAAAATTTGGAGTATGACCTAAAATTAACATGGTGGAACAGAAAACAAATACTTCAAACATTTGTTTCTTACCAAACTTACCAGATGCCAGATTTTTACAAATTTTTATTACTTTCCAACCTTCAACCTCAACGTAAAAATGACTCCTTTTAAAAAATATTGTTTGCAATTGTCTATCAATCTCATGAAAACCATAAAAGTCATAGCTATGCTTACCTGTATTTTCTCTTGAAATTTTTTCTTTATTATCTACAACTGAAGGGGTATTCTTTACAAGTTTATTAGGAATTAAGTGAATGCCCCACTGTTTTAATCCTTGAACCAATGACTCGGCTTCCTTATCAACACTTTTATCATCTTTATCTTGTTCAGCTTCACTCTTCTTCTCTTGTACATTCTCATTCTTATGCTCCGATGTAGGGGTGGAACAGACGGAAGAGTCCCGCAGTTCAGTTTCGACGATATGATACGGCTGCAACTTGTCATCATCTGAACTTAGATGGAGAATTATGTCGACGTCGGGCGAGTTATTGTTAACCTTGCGATTATTTGATGTTTTATGATGCATTGATTTATCTAAAGCACTGTTTGCCACATTATGGGTGCTGGATTTTATTTCAATTTCGATGTTTTTCGAAGGAACTTTTGTGTTAGGAATTTTGTTGACATGCTCGCTAGACGACGGTACGTCTAACGTGTTGACAGATCCCAACCATTGGTCTCTGTCTTCAGACTTTAAGCTTTGGTCTTTGCTCTCAGACTTTGATGCGGTTACCTTTTCTTGGACTTTGGGCGTATCGTTTTTGGGTTTGCAAACCTTTTCAGCACTCTTCACTACTCTTTTTCGCACTTTACTTACAGCTTTTTGTTTTGATGGTGGCGTTTTTGGTTTTACACTACCATCCATACCCTGTATCTTTGCAATAGTTCTTTGGCGAATTTCTTCCATTTTGCTTCGCATTTCATCTTGATAAGTGTGGGGTTTCTCCACTTTATGAGTTGCTGATATTGTAGGGGACGGTTCTTCCTTACTAACAGAGGGAAGAGGATTATCAGTATTTTGGGATCCCTTTCGAGGTCGCAGTGAATACGGGGCTTTTTTCAAAGGAGAGCGATTATCGTCACTTGAATCGCTTTCCTCGCTGCTAGAACTTGAGGAAGTTTTGGAGGTATCTGACTCTGAGCTGCTGGTGTTCTCATCTGTCGCCTCGTCCGACAGCATTTTTGCCAGCTGCATATTTTTCTTGCCGAGTAGATTTTCATTAAACGCCTTACGTTTTTCTATGAAAGAGGATTCTATAGATGAAATTTGAGTTTTCTTTTGAACTATGGTATCTTCATTCTTCTGCGCTTCTGTCGTAGATTGAACTGCTGTTACAATAACCGTTTCATCTTTCTGTATATCTGGACTCCCCCGTGAGACATTGTCTTGTTTTTCCAGCCTTTGGCACTCTTGTATGAGCTGCTCTAAAGATTTATTCTGTTCAGAATCCGATGGCTGATAGTATGAACTAGAAGTTGAATAGTCTGTGCCTCTATTTGAAAATGGCGAATTGAGAGCGGGTGTAAAAGCGAAATTTGGGGTTATGGGAAATTTAGGAGTCGGAATAGAGTTGATGTCTACTCCAGTCAATTGATCTATTACAGCTTTTGTAAATGGGGTATCAACGAGTGTCGTTATGGGAACTGCTGGCGTTTTAGGAACTGATGGTATACAGTTCTTCATAGGAGTTTCCAATGAAGGTAGGTTTAGAAATGTTGGAACGGAATCTACTGTCGTTCTGGGCTCTTCACCATTCACTTTCTGTGTGGGTTTCAATCCACCGGAATCTTTAAAAAAACGTGTCACTTAATAAAAAAAATATCATGTCATTTAAGTTCACAAAATCAAAAGCGGGATTGTCAATTAATTAAGAGATGTAGAAATAAAAAACTTGGAAACAATAGAAGTAAAATATCATGCACAAAATGACTAACCTTTTTCTTCTTGAATGGAGGAATTTTCTTTTTCTATTGCAACACCACTGCTTTGCTTTAACTTGGACGATAAAATTAAGACGCTTTCCTCTTCCTTCAAAATTTCACACGATTTTATTTTCGGAACACTTGTTAAGATTATTTCATCAGTCGTCGGAAACTTTTTGCTATTGTCAATATTGCACTTTTTATTAATCCTCGGTTTAACTACGCGATTTACGATTTCTGGTGCCTTATCTAAACCAATATTTTCAGTTTTTGGCTTATCCGCATCATCTGCATGTTTACCGGCAGATATTTTCTCATTAACCGTCTCTTTATTAGTCCCTTTCCGTTTCTTACCTTTTCGGTCTTGCAAAACCGATTTCTTCACATTTGATTTCTCATTTTTTTTTGTCCCAGGTTTTGCCTTCTTTGATGTACCGGACGTGCTTGGTTTGCTGTCTACAGTTTCACTACGAACATTGTCTTTCGGCAAATCGACTTCCATAATTAAGATCTCCTTTTCTGGCTCCTTGCGTTTCTTTGCGCTCACAGTTTGCGATGTATCTTCACTGGGTCTTTTACGTTTACTTTTCGCAGGTGTTTCTATTGGTTTCGTTTCAGGAGGCAGAAGTGTAAAACCTCTCAAATTTGAATCCCAACTGTCACTTTTGCTTTGTTTCGTTTGCAATTTTTCACCTAAAAAGAAATTAAAGAAAAAATTAGTGACAAACTGTAGTCATATGACCTAACAAAACAAATGCTAATTGCTTCACTTTGGGTGGTATTAAATCCTGAATAATGCAAGCGACTTCCGGCATAGGACTGTATCAATGTTGAATGAAAAGTCACTTTTATAAGGGGCTTCATCAGGAGAAGAATAGAAATATATAAGTACATATAAAATATAAGTAAACTCTTACCAATGAACCAACAGGAACAACATTCACTAAACTGCGCATGTTAGAACAAGAAGGTTAAACTTGGCTATTTAAACCTTGATTTAAACCCATTCCCTCAGGAGAAATTGGGCAAAAATGTTGACTTTTCCTTCAACAATGACAGAGTCGTATGCCTATCTAATTAAGGAAAATAGTTTGTTAATTAATTCCATAATTTTACTAGTTTGAATCATGTTTTTTAAATTGCCATATTAAAAAAAAGTTCATTCCTTAATGGTACTTAGCATGTCATAGAACCAGAGAAATAATATTCAAAACAACAAAAAAAAACGCCACTGCATTTACCAGCAACACTAATATCACGAAAAACGCTGCATTAAAAATATAAAAATGTTTCCACTTACGAAAGTGTAGGTACACTAAAATTGTACTTACATGAATTTATTTTGCCCGCAGAATTCACTTGTTTCTCATTGTCACCTTCTTCCACAAGTGGTGATTTGAACAACGACGTCCGCACTGCTTTACTGGTGGACCTTTCGGATTTCCTTGTGCTCAACTTCTCTGGTGTCGAAAAATGCAATTGGCGCACGTGCGAATTACTTTTCGTATTACTTCCTTCCTTACTTTCTGTAGTAACGACAGGAGGTGTTTGTAATTTGTCTGTTGGTAAATCTCCAATTGGTAAACCGGAATTTTCACAATTTACAGCATTCAGATTACCATCGACAATCTGTTCTGCATGTAAAACGTTGCTTAGAACTGCGTTTTGTAAGTCTTTTGTGACAAAAGTTTCCTGAGTAATGCTTTGATATGTATCCGTATTTATTGTCAATTCTTTTTCTGTGAAGCTTATTTTTTGAGGTGTCGCTTTATATGGGCTGGATTCGTTGCACTTATACAAAGTAATGTATTCGCCAATGGACTGAGCATGATCACTTGATACTTTGGGTGCAATTTTTTTTAAAGATCTTGTAACTGGTGGAGGTGGAGCTAAATAAAGAATTGTAAAAGTGTTAATAAAGCTTGTTACTTACCAGTTGAAGGTACAACCACAGTTTGGGTGCTTCCATATGGTTGAGTATTGTCACAAACAAATATGGTAGGCATCGTCAGAATATCTTGCTCGCTTAATACTTTTAGTGGTGTCGGTGGAAGTGTAACATTAACAAAAGGTTGGTTTCCAATTATAAAACAAGATCTTGAGGCATCCACGTTAACAGCTTTTTGCGGCAAAAGCTGAGTATTTGAAACAGTTGTGTTTGACTGAATCATTAATAAGTCTGCTGTAGTAGTAGGGTTCGAATTTGTATCACCAGGAGCGGTGTATACAATAGAATTATGCATATTACATTGTGCTGTGGTTAATAATAATTCTATTGATTGACTTGTAGAACTTTTGTGACACGAAGTGGTTGCCACCTTTCCTTCTTCATTTAAACACGATGCAGCAATTATTGATTCGACTGCGTCATTATTTTGATCTTCAATTAAAGTGTCCTTAATGTTACTTGGCTGAGATCTTGCGCTACGCATGCGTTTCTTAATCGAGTCTTCAATTGGTGGTGAAATTACCTTCTTTTTTTGTGCAGGGGTTATTCTGAAACAAAGTGAGTTGGAAAAAATCCATAAAAAGCGTCTAGAAAAGCGGCAGAGCACTGCGGTGTGACCCCACCGAGTCATTGCATTTGACCCATTTTCAATTGGCTTGTTACATGTGGTGAGTTTTTTTCATTTTAAGCATTGGGATCTCGTAAACCATAAGACATACGGATTCGGTTAAATGAGGAAAGAGTTGTCGTTTTAAGAGCTTATTTAAGATATGCTTTTGTTTTTTGAAAAAAATCCACAGTTCACTAGATATGAGCGAAAAACAGATTTGGTGATTTTTCATTTAACTGTTGTAGAATCGTTATTATTAGAAATACAACAAAATGACACGAATAAAAGTTTTAGACATTTTAATGCTTAACATTATGAACATACTAATTTATTTTTAGATCTTACAATTTTTGAGGTATAATACAAACTTTAATTTTTTTTAAATGGTAGTCATAGTTGGCTTTGATATTTTTAAAAAGGACAAATTTTTCTCTTTATAACTTACTAAATGTACTTTAAAAAATAAACGCCCTGCAGTAATTTTCGTATTATTGAGAGGTAAGTAAACAGAGTTGGCCATGGAAAACAATATCTAGTGAGATAGGTACCTTTCATTTACCACGAAAATTGGACAGACCAATGTTATCTTCATTTTCTACCACATGAATTTCAAGATATGTAGGATGGGTTAGATTTGGAAACACAGCGTAATTTACGCTGGTTTCAACACAATGGTGCCCCGCCGCACAACTAACTGCAAGTTAAATATTATAATAGATATAGTCAGTAAAATGAGTAAGTTCGCATATCGGATTAGCGCTTATATTCACAGCGCGCATGAGGTTATACATCTTTCCTTATTTAAAACATGACATTTGAGGTAGAGGGCAAGTGTGTCACTGGCTTGACGCTTTTAAGTGGGTGTTTCCCATTCCGAGACCAACATACCAACATACCTTAACTATTGCTTTCTCTTTTTGCTGCAACAACCTCCATTTTAAACGTCTGTAACGTCCAGTGTAATTCTTAGTTCACCGCCCGCGGTTCGTAAAACTTGATACGCACTTGCCCTCTACCTCAAATGTCATGTTTTAAATAAGGAAAGATGTATAACCTCATGCGCGCTGTGAATATAAGCGCTAATCCGATATGCGAACTTACTCATTTTACTATAGTAATTAAGAGAACAAAAATGTTTCCCATGGCAAAATCTGTTTTCACTACTCTTAATAATAGAAACAGTTCTTTATCGTGTTTATTTGTCGATAAGTACAATGATCCTTATATCATTGTAAACAGAAAAAATGCACCTTTTAAAAATGTCACAGCCAACTATGATTACCATTTAAAAAAATGTAAGGTTGCGTTATAACTCGAAAATTATAAAAGAAGAATAAATATAAATAAATGTATCTTATTAAGCGGAAAAATATCTACAATTTTTGTTCTTTGCATATTTCTGTATTTCTAATAGGTACTATAACGATTCTACAACATTCAAAAGAAAAATCACTAAATCTGTTTTTCGCTCATATTTAGTAAACTGTAGATTTTTTTCAAAAAACAAAAGCATATCTTAAAAGGACAACTCTTTCCTCATTTAACCGAATCTCTATGTTTTACGGTTTCCGAGATCCTAATGTTTAAAATGAAAAAAAACTCAACCTGTATATTAACTGTGCAAAGTTGCAACCGAATAGGTTCAAGCGTTTGCCAGAAACAGAGAGGCGTGACCCCACGGGGTCACTGGATTTCACCCATTTTCAATAGGCTTATTACATGTGGCATATAGGTCAACTGTGCAAAATTTGAACCAAATCGGTCCAAGCGTTTGACAGTTATCGTGTTCACAAACAGACGGACACCATCGACTCCCCTATAAAGCTTGCATCGCTTTGCTCTGCCGCTTAATAACAGTATTCAACATAATACACAATAAAGTTTATGATTTGGGGACCATTAAAACAAAAGTTCCTGGATAGTCTAAGATCCCACATAAGGTCAACCTTCGCCCATGTCTTGACTGAGTGAAATACATTTCTTAGCAATCTTAAAAACTTAAGATGTAAATAAACACATTGGAAAAGGGTTGCCTAAAAAAATTAAGTCTAGAGTACCCTTAATTGAAATTACTGTAATTAATATTTCTGTCTGCTTCTATCACATGGAGAGAGCGCCGATGCGTACACCACGATCAGCTGGTACGCTGCGTCGTAGCGCGCGAGAAAAAAACATGTGCATTATTCTGTTTGAGAGAAGGACGCAACGTAACAGCTGATTGTGGTGTACGCATCGGCGCTCTCTCCATGTAATAGAAGCAGACATAAATATTAATTTGCATTAATTTTAATTACTGAAGGGTGGTCTTGACTTAATTTTTAAGGCAACCATTTGTAATGTGTTTGTTTACATAGTAAGATATGTCAGATAAGCGAAGGTTGACCTTATATGGGATCTTGTACTACAAGTATACAGTGCGATCAAGATACGAAGGTCACCTCAATATTTCTTTTATTTGGTGAGATACGAAAAATGAGTCAAATATAATTTTATGTGACATTACCATGTATCTATCCGATTGCGGATTGGTGCCGATGGAATTAGTATTGAGATGCTGCTGAGGTGCTCTTCGCATATTGTCAAATACATAACTCACATAATAAATTATTCTATTGAGGTCAGTACTTTTCCAAATGAATGGAAAATCGGTCATATTATACCTTTACCTAAAATTAAAAATCCAACCGAAATCAAGGATCTCCGACCAATCAGCATCTTACCCGCGCTTTCGAAGATTTTTGAAAAAGTTTTATGTAAGCAAATTAAAGCACATTTAAATGACAATTCAATTATTCCGTCAAACCAGTCCGGGTTCAGGCAAAATTACGGTTGCGCCACGGCACTATTAACAATTGTTGATGATATTTTGGCAGCAAATGATAACGATATGGTTACCACACTTGTTCTATTAGACTATTCGAAGGCCTTTGATAGAATTAACCACCAATTGATGGTTGCAATTCTTCACAATATTGGATTTCAGCCAGACGCCTTGAACTTGATGAAGAGCTACCTCTGTGATAGAATTCAGCTGGTTAAATACAACCAGAACTATTCCATTCCTCTCAGATGCATTAGCGGGGTCCCACAAGGTTCAATCTTAGGACCTCTTTTATTTATAATATATACGTCATCCTTTCATAAATGCCTAAAGTATACTAAAAGTCATTTCTATAGACGACACCCAAGTATATCTATCATGCCATAAAGATGAAATATTGCAATCTAATTATCGTATCAACTTCGATTTAAATTCGTTATATGAGTTGTCACATAATTATTGTTTATCGTTAAATCCTTCAAAGTCTCGCGTTATGCTTTTCGGTCGAAAAAATACTCGACAAAAATGCATTTCGGAAATTAAAATATGTATAAATAACGAGTACATTATGTATACGGATGTTACCAAGAATCTTGGGCTGTATCTGGATTCGGAGTTGCGTTTTGATGTACATGTTAATGATATTATTAAAAATGCGTATGCGGGATTGAGGCTTATATACTGCAGTCGCAGTATGTTAAACTATAAAACTAAAAGTATGCTCTGCGATGCATTAGTGTTATCGCACATGAACTATTGCGATGTAGTGTATGGGCCCTGTTTGACTGAGTACAACCGAACCAGATTACAAAGAGTTCAGAATGCCTGCGTTAGGTTGGTTTGTGACCTGCGACGACGAGACCATGTCACGGGGTGTTTACATTCACTTGGGTGGTTAAATACTAGACAGCGGCGAACTTTACATTACTCTCGATTGTGTCTAGGAATTGTAAAAAATAGTACCCCAACTTACTTACATAATAAAATTCATTACCGGAGAGAAATTCATAATAGAAATACGCGCGGTAAAGTACTTGCTGTCACTCCGATGCATAGGACAATGCAATTTCGAGGATCCTATACATATGTTGCGTCAAAGGTTATTAATTTCATGTTACAGAATGCATTGGACTCTGCTTAAAGTCAAAATATTTTTAAGGGAGAACATTACGTTTTCCATTAAAATATAAAGTCATGTTGGATATTATTGCTTGGATCAAACACCATCGCGATCGTTGTATGAGATACGTCATTATTATAATTTGCTGTTTTATTTACTTATAGTTATAATTTTGTTATAAACTGAGCTGAGCACGTTCTTTGTTTTGTGTTATAATTGTAAGTTGGGTGGCAGGGAAGACCAGTTCTGCAGGGGGTTGCTTACCTGCACAACTGATTGCTGACCCTTTCTGCTAGAGTTATTGTTATTTATTTTATGTAATATGTAATTTCATTGTGTACCTACACTGCAGAATAAATCTATTATTATTATTATATTGAAACTTCCGGTTAAACAGGAAACCTATGCAACTTTTGCTTTTCAAATGCAATGCCTGTTTTTTTTAATATACTTAAAAGAGCATTCAATTATACGGCAATATAAAATATGTATAAGTATGAAATTTGTGATTCAATATTTAGAAAACTTACAAAATCTAGCATGCTGTGTGCCATATGAGCCATATCACACAGAAGAAGAAGAACTGTCAGTGAAATAACTAAACGCAAGGCCAAGATTTGAGAACAATTTTATTGGCGCAATATAAATTTCCCATGGCCCATTTTAAATAACTCAACGTCTTTACATTGTCGTATGGCCCATCCTAAAATACACCCTGTATATTTTGTTACAAAATTCAAAATATAGGTATACACAGTGTGACATACAAGTATGTAAAAAAGTGAATGGTACAAAGGACGAAAGCGAATATTTATACCAAACACACCAGGTTAAAAACGGTTTTTTAGAGCTACTCCTCCAAAAGACCCAAAATTCGTGTTTCTTCTTTAATTTTTTTCATAAACTTGAGTTTATATACTTTTTTCATCAAAGTACTGAGGTAATTAACATTGCGTTCATTTGCAAATATTGCTCATAGTTACTTACAGTGTTTTTAACTTAAAACCTAAAATTCATACAACGTAGGAATGAATACTTACTTTAGAGTATTTTCACATGTTAGTGGTTGCTCACATTGATTGGAACTGGCTTCTTTATCCGTTGCATTTTCTGTATCTATTAAATATATTAAATTAATTAATTAGCTATATTGAAATGTTACAATACCCTCATCAGTACCTATTATTTCCGATATTAGTTGAACTAAGATAGGATCCGATTCTGTCCTTTGTACAATGCTTTGAATTGCTAAACTGTCCAATTCTGCACTTGATTTTGATGAAACTTCCTTATTAATATTGTCGGCCAATTTCTCGATCAGTTCTATATTTTCTAAAAAGGTGTTTGTAAATATCTGAAAAAAGTACCTACTCATTTTAGAATTGTGTAACACACTCATATTACCTCTTCGCATTGTTCGTGCGATTTCTCTTTGACCTCTGCCTCGTTGTCAGTGGTAGTAGATTTATCACATGTCGAGGTGGTTTCTCTTGATTTATCGTGCGACTTTTGTATGGGATCATCTTCAAAGGTATTCTTGGGCGTTGTACTTATGGATAGGTGATCGAATGACCTGTGGCCAATGTCAGATATATTTTGCACATCACACGGTTCGGTGTTGGTGCTCGCGTTATGCGAATTTACAGTTGCAATTCTGCAAAATCTGTTCGTAAAATTGTTTTGTTTAGTGTGCTTAAGTACTTACTCTTGTATTGGTGTGCTAGTCCTCGAATGAATATCAAATTTGTCAAATAAATATAAAACTTGTTTCATTAAGGAAGAGCGTGAACAATTTTCTTTATAAAAATCAGTCGCCTCCAAACGTTCTTGAACTAGAATATGGAAAAACTTGCAATTATTTGCTGAAAGACCAGAATTCTAAACAGCGACAAACTATCTTTTTTATTTATTTTATTTTATTTTTTTATTTTATTTTGCCTTTATTTTTGAGTGGGCGGGGTTTCAGCCAAGGCTGCTCTACCAACCCAACCCACTATACATTTACAAATATCCATGCCCGAACCCGGATTCGAACCAGGGACCCTAGCACCACAGTCCAGCTTCAACTGAACTGCGCCACACGGGCCGGCTGATGTTAGTCTAGGCTCGATTCTAGTGTCTAAAGCTCTAAACCAATTGGCGCAATTGTGTTCTCATGACCATATTTGGAATGTTCAAATCAGCCTAGAGGACCCATAATACTGTAGCGAATATTCCAGAAACCCAGATAGACATAGAGGCGCCATGAAAGATCATCAATGATAAAAAACGAAGGTGGATGTGACGCAATCTTTCCGGGGAATATGACGTGTTTGTTCAAGAACATTCTAGAATATTCGGGAGCGTCTCGGGGGCACTCGAGTAAATCAAATTATTGTAAATTCTCGTGTAAATGACCAAATTACCCTAAAGTTATTAATGAATTACTACAGGATCGAAAGGATTATATGTCTATCCAACTTTCAACATTTTTTAACCGTTTTTATCTTTCATGATATTCCACTAAAAGCTTTCAGCAAAAGGAATGATCTTGTACCAACCACTACCTTTCTCCCTTACCCCTTATCAAAATCTGAGAGTTTGGGAGAGGAGCGGATAGGAACTCATCCTTTATAGTACTTTACTGAAAGGTGTCAATGAAAGAAATTAATGTTTACCAAACATCCCCCCCTCCTCCACGGCCCCTTATCGTGATTGGTTATAATTCCTAATATCTCAACAGCGGAGCGTGATTGGATGATGTGGAACATGTGGAAAAAAACATATCCATTGGTGATGTCAAAACTTTAAGTGGGAATATCACAAACTGTGTCAGAGAAGGGTACTCAGAGGTCAAATGAATCGTCTGGACAAGACATCTCAATTGGGGAGGTAGAAACGAATATCTTGAAAATAAAATGTTGGAGGAGCATAAAGAATAGGATAAAAAAGAAAGTTTAATGCTTAGTGCAAAATGTAAGATAAACTCCACTTGCAAGAATGAGATATGATTGTTTCAAGTTCCTGGTTTTCTGGTATTGCAAACACATTGTAGAATATTGTCAAATTTTCGAAGGTTCCTAAAGTACCTAAGTGTAAGTGTACGCTAATAAGAAAGTTATGGGGCACATCTACAAAAAATTAGCTTTTTATTATAATTAAGCATTTTAAATGAATGAAATATTTGTTTTTGATAGCACATGCAGTGAATTTTTGAAAAAGTGTATAATGTGATCCTTAACAAAAAATATGCCACATTTTTAGAACAATCCATTATTGTAATAAAATCGAAAGTGTTTCATTTAAAATAACAAAGTTGTGTCTCATACCACATTACATTTGTATTATTCATATTAAACAATGTTGTATTTTAACTTTTTTTTGTAGCATCACCAGAGGCATCACCTTGTCAAGAGACATCACTCCACATCGCATTAATGGGACACCCTGTATATTTTCTACCTCGATTTGTACAGGATGGTCCAAATTGGGCACTTTCTTAAGGAATCGTCCTTCTTTTTAAGAAAAAAATGAACCTAGCCCAATTTTACGTTGAAAATCACTGGCGCAAACAGAACTCAGCTATCTCTATTCGTTTGGCCACTAGGGGACGTTTCTCGAATTTAGTCGATTTTCTTTAATGCCCCATAACTTTCTTATTCGCGATATTTGAGCTAGAGCAAACCAATGACACTTCTCCACAGCAACTTTTAAAGCTCTTTAGGTGGGGTTGTTAATTTGTTTAAATCCGAGGTTATGTGTTGTGGAACCATCATCAACTTTTTTTTAAATACGGCCTGATATGGTTTAACTTTCTTTTTGGGCTTAGTTAAGAAAGTTCATATTGCGGAGGGTTTTAGTGCCATGAAATTAAACATCCTACCGTGTGAAGTTTTTCTTTACATATTATAGAAAACATACATAATTATACATTAATTATACAGTTAATTGAAGTATAAGAGCATTGATTTATCACCAAGAAAAAAGTATGTTTTGGAAAACAAATGAAGGTGATAATGGCGTATTTTAACTGACAGTAATGTTGGTTTTTCCACATAATAATAATATTAGTTTAGTGTTAATTTATTGTACAGGGTAGTTCAAATTCGTGGCTGACCAATGGGATCTCCGTAACCGTGAGAGATACAGTGTATATGAGGACAAAGTTGCTGTTTTTGTGACTAAAAAAACGCATTTGAAATGTTTGAAAACTCTGAAAATAACAGAGATATCACCGAAAAACTAAAAATGTTTTTCATTTTCCCTACCTTAAAGCGGTAGGAAATGGGCGTTTCCTGTTAGCACCTTCTATGGGCACTTTTTAGGAGAATCGTCGGGAGAATCTGAATCTGTAACATGCTACAGGCTAAGTACGCTTTCTTATTTCTTATGGACGCTGTATTGGATTTTTACAGAATGAGATTGTTTTATGTTGTTCCGGCTTCAGGATACTTCTTATTAGACACAGGTTATTTTAACTTATATTAACTTCATTAACTTGGACACCAACTTCGATTAACATACATGTGTTCTTCTTGACCTTCTATTCCGTGTTGCCAACTATATCTAACATAGATAGACTTAGAGAGGACAAAAAAGAAATTCATTGAATGCATCGCCATCATAGCCGTGTTGATTCAGCAAGTTCCAGTTACCAGCAGATGTTTTGTTGAGAAATAAATGTAAAACATTTGATTTTGAAATTTTTCTATAAATTTATGTAAAAGTATAGAGTGTGACACGATATTATGTTTGTTTCTTACTCCTCTGTCTCATTCCTGAAAAATCCGAATCATAAGAAATACAGAGCTTGTAGCTTCTACATCTAGCATGTATTAAATTGAAATTGAAATTGAGGACTTTCCATTTACGACCTTTAAGGTACGGAAAATCAAAACGAAATTTGCCATTTTCGGTGATGTCTGTTATTTTCAAAGATTTTTCAAAAATTTCAAATGTGTTTTTTAGTCACAAAAAGGGGTAACTTTGACCCCATTTTACCTACACTGAATCTCTCACTGATACAGAGATCCCAATGGTAAGCCACGATTCACGAATTTGAACTACCTAGAATATGTAGGTAATTATCAGTATTCTTTCTATTAATTATATTTTCTAATACAGTTTGACATGGTGGCATGTTTCATTTCAGCCAATCGAACTTGTTCTGTTGTGGACCGTATGTATTTGCAGAAGTACCCTGACAACCAAATAAAAGAACTTTTAACAATCAGACTCAGTGGCAACCCTTAAAGCATATGGTACTTTTACACTATATTATAATACATTACAGAATAAAGTTACGTTCTATATAACACATTTATTGGTACTATACGCCACATTCTAGGTTAATTATGTAAACTAAACACCAGTGAAAATCTCACTTAAAATGGAATGTAAAAGAAATGAGCTGATAGCAAACCAGCAATATTTATATGACAATATTAATGAACAGAAGACAGACAACCAAAATATAGACACGTCATACTAGTACTACTAAAAAATATGGGGAAAAAAGGAAAAAAGTAACAAAAAAAAGCAATATGGATTATAAAATTAGAAAACAAGTTACTATCAATAATGTTTCAAGTTTTGATTGGTTGAAAAAAGCTAAAGAAAATCATTACAAATGTAAATTGGCAAATTGTAGGGAAAGAGAATACCTATGTATTAGACACAAAACAAAACAATTATGGAGTTACAATACTAACCTATGGTGTAAATGGCAGCATATTCGTTTAAATATTCGACTAAACTCATACCAGCAACACGTGTGACAACAAACCTACGGTTACGATAATTGTTTGCATGATCTCGTAAATGTTCCGAGTGATACAGCAGATCAAGGAAGGCTCTTTTGCACCGAGTTTCTTTTAAATAACCTACAACAAAAGAACGATGGAAGAATTTTGTTTTGAGGTCCATAGCAAAGAAGTTAAACGCTAGTAGGGCAAGCAAACTTCGTTTTCCCGCCAAGCAAATACTAACCCAAAACAAGTTGTGCAAAATCTTGAGAACGAAATTCCATTGTACGATAATATAAGTTAACGTTGAAAAGCAATAAACAAGAAATTATAGAAGTTAGTACAGACAGGCCATAATTGTTATTAATGTTTTGATGATCAACAACAAACAAAATTCGAAATGACAAAATTCAGTTACGTCGAATTCGACAGTCGTCGAATATACCAGGTGCTCACAGTTTGCTTTTTTCCCAGTATTATACAGGGCGTTTGTTGATGGGTTGAAGATATCAGTGTGATTTATAAATATGGTCATTGATTATACACACAACATTTCCTCTATGCTCATACTAAAGAATTTCAATCTACATCCCCTCAAATAAGGGAAATTGAGCGTAGTAAAAAATTTACTCCCCGAATGAATTTTTGAAGTGAATGAACAATGGTGGACAGGAAAGGGTATAGGTAAAACTTCATGTTTTACTTGCTTATTTTAACGAGGTAAAGGTAAAGAAATCATCCACATTATGAAGGACCTACCTACATAATGTTGTGATCCACATTCAAACCTAATGCCATGTATTATGCTAATGCCTAAAGACCATGTCAGTTTTATTATTCTAAAATGTATAGCGATCATTTGTGATTACAGATTTAGATTTAGTATTATAATCTGCGTAACGATGTCAATAATGAGAGATTTATTCTCCAAAGCCAATCAGGTAGTCACTAAACAGCTGTTAGGTCCAAAACGATAGCCCTAAAAAATAGATGTATTTCTAAAATGTGCCAATTACAATTAATTACCGGACATTGTTTTTGGCATAAGTATGATCGCTACAATATTAGCAAGTGCTGGTGGAGTTCTTCAACTTAAAACAGTTCGGTGGCTGTAGATCGGTTGCAGTAGCAGAAGCTTTCGTCGCCCATTCTGTGGCTCATTCGCTTTACGGGCACGCGAAAATAACAAGTATCCTCTTCAGGTAGTGCTCCGACGTATCCGATATGCAACATTATGATGCCATACTTCCATCCCTTGCTCTTCTCATGGGTCGCTACCCAATGTTTCCATGTCTAGACAAGAATTGAACTTTTCCATCCAGAAATCTAAACAGTAATGTTCTCTCTAAAGTAACAATCAATTTATTAAACTTAAGTTCGAGTTTTATATACTTATCGATACTTTAATATAATTAATGGTTTCTTTTTGCTTTTGTTTTTACTTAACCATTTAACACCGTGCTCGTTTAGTTTTAGGTTACGTGAAACAAAACACATCTCTCGCAGTCTGGCTAAAGTTAATCAGAACTCCTACGCTGTTTGCATCGGTCTGCATTTACTTATTTCACTTTTTCGCGTTTGGTCGTTCATTTGCAATTTACAAAAAAAGCACAAAACTTAAAATAATCCATACTACTCATAGTAAAAATAACAATGACTGGCACAAAACTAAAAGAATAATACTTCCACACATATTCCAATTGTTAGTAATTAAAAAACCATGATCCTTTCTGTAGGTATATTAATATTTAAAAATATCCCACATAGTCTGCGTTATAATTATCCAATCGTTGATTGAATAACTTATTCAATGAACGATCTAATTGTTATTTTGCATGTACTAGGACAGTAATGGGAGTCAGGCAAAAATATTACAGTACCTACTAGTCAGGTAAAGATCAACTTTCTAGTGTAAAAATAGCCCTGAAATTTAGATTTTCTTGACGGTTTCAGGTAAAGGAAAAACGCCAGTTTCGAAATTTGGTGTTGCGCATGCACAGTGTCAACTTTTTATTTATGGAAGCATTTAAGCATTTGATACTTAGACGCTTGGAACAAAGGAAAATCTAACATTAGATTCAAAATTTAGGTTTGCGCATGCGCAGTTCCAACTTTCTTATTTAAAAAAGCATTGAAATGAAATTCTTATAAACTGAAATTGAAGTAGCCCGTCAAAAATGGATTGCCCATGTGCAACACTATCTTTCATATTTGTGGCCAGATTTTTACGATTTTAATTTGCATCTTACAAATGGGAAATGAATGCAAGTGGAAATGCGCTTTATGTAAATCGTTTACGATTACTTTTTAACTTGTTATTAAATATTCTTATTCTACATCTGAAAATAATACTTTCGTTGGAAACGTTTTTCCCTACACTTACCATTTTTTGAAGATGTAACTTCATCCAAATTTGTTGTAATTATGAACTTCAATTTATTTAAAACTTATTTTGTACAATACCATCAAAGTGCAGCAAATTCAATTTAATTTAAAGACAGATCATACATAAAGCAAATTAAGATCATTATCCACAAGTAATGTCACCTCGTCGATAATAAACACAAAAACTTAAAATATACAATTTGCAAATCGACTATCAAAGGGTTTAACCAGAAAATCCGTTATTGTTTCCAGATGCACCATTTCCTGAGTAGCCAAATAAATATCCACCGGCGTTATTTCCTTGGCTATTACCAGAGTTTCCACCTGCGTTACCGCCAGCAGAAGAAAACGAGTAACCGTATCCACCGTAACCATAACTACCAGCAGACGATCCGCCGTTGTTTAAACCGTTGTTGTTTAATCCGTTGTTGCTACCGCTACTTCCTGCATTAGCATTGCTGTTGGCATTTCCACCGGCATTATTTCCAAAAAATCCGTGTGAAGGAACTGCTACAAAACTTGTTGCTACCCCGTGCGTTGTAATTGTGGCTGGGACGGAGTTAACATGTTGCTGACGGTATGAAGAACTGGTTGCGGCTGGCCCCGAGCTGTAGCGAGTTTAAAATTTTATGTTTATTATTATTGAATGCTGACTTACGGATACGATTGAGGTGACTGTTGTGAAGTTGGGGCGGAAAATGATGTTGAGATAACGGCTGCTGCATGGGGCGCTGGAGCTGCGGAAGATTGGGGGATTGGTCCAGGGGTTAGGGTTAGTGGGACTTGCTGTTGAAATCCAAAACTTCCGCCAGAAGCATCGCCATTTGGGTGTCCGTTATTACCTAAATTGCCGACATTTGGGCCAATGTTTAAAAATCCGGCCTTAGCTGACGAAAATGCAAAGCAGCAGACGAATACAACCTAGCGTAACAAATTCAATATTAATAAACTTTTGTTTTGAAAAGCAAGTGCATTTGCCTACCTTAAAATACATCGTTGTTAGTTGACTTTGGGAGTAGTTATTTAAAGAACGATCAACTGCTTGTGATACCCATTCTGAAATTTTGCCTTATATATACCAATGAAACTCAATTTTTTTAAAAGCATGTTCTATTTCTCAAGCGTATCAAGCTTATATTGAACCTAATTCAATACCGATATATCACTGTGAACAGATACAATTACATCTATGTACTTACTTACTAAGAGTATTATGTTACCGCGTGCTTTCATGAAAAGATACTTGTACCTTCTTACATTTACGTAATAGAAGCACGAGCCATTCACTGAAAGCCTTTTCATTAAAGTACCGTTTGCATTACCAGTTTGTTGTGTAGAAAGTGACAGTGCAGGTATATCTTAAGTTTTCACGAATATCATGTGTACCTACTTCCGTATCCTAACAAAATGAAAATACTTATCAAAGTATAAAAGATTAGAAATGTATTTTTCTTGGCGCCTCTGATACAATAAAGGCGTTACTAGCGCAGTCTTCACATCGTTTTCGTTTTTGAGAATTGAGATTCGTGTTTTTTGCTTTGGATTGTGGAGGTTTTAAACAGATCAAGGAAAGCATCATAAAAGAAACTGATGACTTATAGTAGGGCTTGCACGTCTTATTTTTTTGCAAGACATTTAAGTTCTCAGGCTTAACGACAATTCAACCGGTTTAACCAGGTTGTTAAATTTTGCTATGGTAACAATTGTTAGTAGAATTGTTTCCATGGCGATTTTCACCAACGAAATTACTCCTGTTGAATAATCCTTTGGTTTTGTACGTCCGTGTGTTTGTCTGTCTGTCTGTCCGTTTGTTCCTCGTCTCATTCGAGAACGAGTTCATGTATCAGTGCTATTAAATATGAGCCGGATTAGAAGTCTGGGTTCCGAATGCGAGCTGAGTGGCGAAAAATTCCCTCACTGAAAATCGTATGCGAGTGTTCGTATATTGTTGTAATCGCATCTGAAACGGTCCACCCTTAATGCCTAGGAAACAATTGTGATATCATGCGGTTCCAACCAAACATATGGACTCTTGAAAATTCCTATTCGTTTGTGTAAATAAATTACATTACAATTTGTATAAATCAAACACCAAAAATTGATGAACTTCTAGCTAGACCATCAAATTTTTTCCTGCTAGATTTCTTCTCATGAAAACTCATGCAGACAAAATCTCAGTATAGTACTTTTAACCGACCGCGACCCTACGCTTCGGTTAAAAAAAAACCGATAATGCGACCGCACGACAATGTCACATCTCAGGCAAGGACAGAAGTTCGTGGAAGATCAGCTTAAAGACGACGACCTTCAACAATTTTTTTGAAGACGCTGATGTCAAGTTACCTACACCTGGTTTTCTGAATATTGAAATCATGTGCCACAAGCAAATAACGTTTCAAACAATTTTGGATTCGTGTGACCCAAAATGAGGTTCGACAAACACAAACCGCCGAGTCAGTTGCGAGGACATTAGTGGATGGATCACCAGATTTGGAATCCCAGAGCGAATAACTACGGATCGTGGCCGACAATACGACTTTTGCCTTTTTGCTGAAATAACCAAGCTTTTGGGTATTGATTCTGGTTACGCTCCCGCTGCACGCATTACGCCTGTCTGGTGAACTTTTCTCTCATACGCCCAATGAAGATACTACCCTTTTCGCCAAACAGCTTAGGTCATCCATTAAAGATTCCCGACCGTCTCATTCAAGACTGTACGGAAATTCAACAGTTTCTTGTTCACCCGGCTCGGCACATGCTTCCATGCTTTTGTGCGGAAGGAAGGTTTGAAGAGGTCGCTGCAAGTTTTATACGAAGGCCCCTACCATAGAGGAAATACATTTCCCTCTATGCTCCTACCTCGAGAAGTTTGAAAAATGTTTTTTCGTCGGTTTAAATAGACGAACGGACAGAATATCCATCGATCGTCTCAAACCGGCGATATCACCACCGCAGCCCCATTCAAACCGAATAGTGCTTTATGTTGACTACTTGGTCTTGTCCCTGAAGTAACATTCATATACGTTTTGATCATTTTATTTTAATATATGGAAATGGGGTCATCCCGCCTTCATTTTTAGCGCATTTCCACAAAAATAAAAAAAAATGCGCTATTGTGGCCACTTTGTCCGTCCGTCCGTCCGTCCGCTCACTTTGCGACGCTACTATAGTTCTTTATCTTAAGAGCTATTGTTCTACTTTTTTCGCTATTTGGTTCGTTATGGTGTCGAGTCTTGTACCAAGGAAGGAATTTCTTCTGTACCGCTTACAAAAAAAGTTATTGTAAAAAAAACAAAAAACCGTTTTTTACATGTTCCATAATTTTACACTTTTGCCGTGTATTAACGATCCTAGAGATCGTTTATAATTTTGCATTGCTATCTGTCGCCTGCCGGTTGGTCTCTCCGTCTGTTCCTTTGTCTGTCTGTCCATCTATTTGTCCGTGTGAACGATAACTTTGTTTAGAAATGTTCGATCGCTTTTACATCTCCGTTAGTTATGAACTGAATTGCATGAAATTCAAATGGGCATAGATTTAGCCATATAATACGCAATGCCAAAAGTTGAATCGAATCGATTCAAAATTCACAGTGCCCTTTTCCCATCTCGACCATTTATCAACCGAATTGCAAACTTTTTTACTTATAAAGGTATTTGAATGAAATTTGATACATAGGTACTTGGAATAAAGGAAAATCAAACGCCAATTTCAAAATTTGGTTTTGCGCATGCGCAGTGCCAACTTTTTTAATTATGGAAGAATTTAAATGAAATTTGATACATATGCACTTGGAATAAAGGAAAATCAAACGCCAATTTAAAAATTTGGTTTTGCGCATGCGCAGTGCCAACTTTTTTATTTATGGAAGAATTTAAACGAAATTTGATTCATAGGCACTTGGAATAAAGGAAAATCAAACGCCAATTTCAAAATTTGGTTTTGCGCATGCGCAGTGCCAACTTTTTTATTTATGGAAGAATTTAAACGAAATTTGATACATATGCACTTGGGATAAAGGAAAATCAAACGCCAATTTCAAAATTTGGTTTTGCGCATGCGCAGTGCCAACTTTTTTATTTATGGAAGAATTTAAACGAAATTTGATACATAGGCACTTGGGATAAAGGAAAATCAAACGCCAATTTCAAAATTTGGTTTTGCGCATGCGCAGTGCCAACTTTTTTATTTATGGAAGAATTTAAACGAAATTTGATACATAGGCACTTGGGATAAAGGAAAATCAAACGCCAATTTCAAAATTTGGTTTTGCGCATGCGCAGTGCCAACTTTTTTATTTATGGAAGAATTTAAATGAAATGTGATACATAGGCACTTGGAATAAAGGAAAATCTAGCGCCAGTTTCAAAATTTTATTTTGCGCATGCGCCGTGCCAACTTTTTATCTATGGAACTATTTAAGTGAAATTTGATACTTAGGCGCTTGGAACAAAGGAAAATCTAACATTAGTTTTAAAATTGAGGTTTGCGCATGCGCAGTTCCAACTTTCTTATTTAGAAAAGCATTGAAGTGAAATTCTCATAAACTGAAATTGAAGTAGCACGTCAACAATGGATTGCCCATGTGCAATGCTATCTTTCATATTTGTGGCCGGATTTCTACGATTTTAACAGAAGTTGCATCTTACAAATGGGAAATGAATGCAAGTGGAAATGCGCTTTATGTAAATCGTTTACGATTACTTTTTAACTTGTTAAAATCTGTACTAACGTGAGGATAGAACTTTTTTTCTTAGAAAATGTCTTTCAAGTCGAGCTTTCGTCCTATAGCTCAATTTGGCATAAGGAGGATACATTTTCCAGGCACTTTATACAGTACATTCGAGTTAAAATGAGCAGTCTGGAATAAGTCAGTTGGTATTGAGTCTTAAAAAAATCATGAAACACGTCAACTTTGGTGACTCATTTCTATGTAACAGTGAGACCCTTGTCAACCACCCTCTTCCCTTACAATTCTGTATATAACCCTCTAAGCTTGTTTACCTTGCAATCCCAGAAAAAAATACTTTTTTACATGTGAGTTTGTTATGGGGAGGGATTGGCTGACAAGGGGTAACTAAAGTGGACGTGGGCGAATTTTTTAAGTTTCAAAATTAAATGGCTCGTTTTAAGTAGAATGCAGTGTATGGATCTTTACAATAATTAAACTCTTCTTGATTCCCACATGACACAGGGGGAACTTACTTTGTTTAAACTATGACGAAATGCTTTCTAGCTTTCCTTACTGTTATCATGTGCTCTCCTTTCTCAAGAAAAAAACGTTTGGCAACGATCTTTGACATTCTTATTCGTCAGAACAAACCATTTCCGATTTCTAGTCCCCAATGCCAGTGTTCTGTAGTGTCTTCCCAGACAAATTCTGCTCATGATGGTGTACATAGTTTAGCCGGTCAATGAAACATGTGTCACATCTACGTATTCAATTTGTATGAGCTTTTCTTCATCATTACGCGTTAAAGGAAAACTTTGCGTTGTATTCCATAATGTATAAAAAATCGCGCGATACTCAAATTAAATCGTATAAAGTTGCGAAATTGTAACTAAAAAACTGTTAATATTTTTCAACAATAAAAAAAGTTCAATCGGCTCTATTGTTAGAGACGTAATTATAACCGCAAATTGGTGCAAGTGCTTCCTGAGGATTTTCTAAGAATACTAAACATTAACAAAGTTCAGTAAACGTAGTTACGTAAGCAGATGAAAGATTTGAAGTAGATTACCGCTTAAAAATAACCACCGAAACTTGAGCCAATAATAATCGAGAAAACATCTAATAGCGTCTATATTATAACCATCCGTTTAATTATTTCAAGGCAATATGAATACCTTTCAGAACTAATGTAAAAAGGAATTTGTATAAAATCTCGCGTAAGGCTTTGATTGATATTAATGGATTCAATCCATTTTAAATTTCTGATTTCTGAATTTGTAAATTTGAGAGCCTATTGAATTTGGTTCGGATTTAGAATTAAATTTTGTTGAAAGAATTTTTATTTATTCCATGATTTTAATAGATCAATTTTGCCAAATTCAAGGGTTCATTTTCTTGGTGATTTTATCTGATAAAAAAATATAATAATAATAATAATAAATGTCTTTAATAAGTACCTAGGTTAAATTACATAGAAATGTGTACAAAGGGCGAGATTCGGTAATGGAATGTAACATACATACCATTTCTGCTCTTCCATCTAACCCATAAATATATGAAATAAAAAATTAATA